GATTTGACAAATTGCCATTTAGTAATGGACAGTAAAATTGCAAAGAGCTTTGACATAAAACCTGATTGCACGGTGACGCGACACTCTCACGATAATTTATAATTTGTGCGTATCCACATCTCTTTTTTACTAATATAGGTGTTTTCTATGTGAAGAAGTTAAAAAATAATAAAATGCCCTACGTAATCGCACACACCAATACGTAATAGGACACACCATCGTGTGAAGGATAGATTGCATTGCATTATTTCGCGTCGCGTCACTTTACGTCTAGTTCCGTCGGTTTTTGTCGCGGCCCATCGCTTTTGTGTCGCGGCCCATCGCATTGTGGCGCTTTAGGCCTTCCGCCCACTAGGCAGCCTGGTTGAGGCATGCAGTCAAGTGTTCATATACCGGATTGGCTGCCTCGTTCACTGGGTCGCTAAGTGTCGCATCCTGACGCTAACCTTATGTCGTGTCCCGTCGCTTACTTAGGACTAACGGTGACACTGGCGGATTGCAAGCGTTTTCTGGGCGGAACATCGGCGTGGCGCAGTACGCCGCAGCTCCGTAGCGAACACGCCGCGGCATTTTGCAAGTATTTTGGCGACCGCGGCGTACACCGCCAGTGTGGCAAGGCCCTTATTGCTGTATTACACTCAGCTCACCTTGCGGGTCCAATGACAGTTTACTTTCCCCCGGGACAAACTTGACCTTCATTGGTTAGGTTTTTGTGGCGGTCAAGCTGTAGATCCTGGCTACACAGGAGTTGCAGTGGTGGGAACGAGAGGTGGGAATAGTCCCGGTCAGCTCACCTTGTCGTGGATCCAGAACATGACCTCGTCGCAGTGGCGCAGGAACTGAACCAGCACCAGCGCCTGCTGCAGCTTCATGCCCTTCTCTGCCAGCCGCGACAGCAGCAGCTCCCACAGCCGGTGCAGCTCGTCCAGCCGCCGCCGGATGGTGTCGGCGGCGAAGTGCCCGGCGGCGATCATCTCGCTGCCGGTGTTGTCCAGCACCACGATCGCGTTGGAGTGCGCCGCGACCTCAGCCTCGAAGGCCTGGTGCTTCTGGATCTTGGCCTGTTGACAGTTTCAGTGCGTGTACAGATGATGGCATGAACATGTCTGGCATAATAGGGGCGATTTTTATTTCCCTATTATCTCTCTGTCTCCAATCAAACATAATGCAAGGCAGAGACAAATCAATAAACAAGTTAAAATAACATAATCCCTAACAAATTGTTACATTAACCTAAATCAAAACTTAATTACAACATTCACGTTACTTAGCATTCTATTAATATTAATTATGTCCTCAACTTATCTAGGTCAAGTTATTAGCGCAGATTATCTTATCTCATGCATGCTAATCATGAACTTGATATTCAATGTTCAGTCTGTGTTAGTTAAAAATAGAAATTCTGTAAGATTTGAATCATAATTTCCGAGTGTAAATTTTAATGTGTTCTGTGTAAGGCCCGGTTTCCACTAAAGCAGAGCGGAGCAGAGAAGTGTGTTGAATAACTAATCAGATTTAATTATTTCCACTTTTCATCTACGCGCCGCGCCGCCGCCGCTGTCAAATTCTATAGAAAATTTTCCCGACACTTCTCCACTCCGCTCCGCTTAAGTGGAAACCAGGCCTAAGTAAAAAATAAGTGTAAGGCTAAGAACTCACGGCGCGATTTTCACCCGCGCTCGCGGCGGCTGCGGGTAAAATCGCGCCGCACGCTAAGTCACTGCTGCAAAATGGTCGGGCGGTTTTCACGCGGGCGAAAGCCGCCTAGCGGGACCCGGTTAAACCGCGCCCGCTGCGGGCGAAAACCGTGTCGTGAGTTGTGCATTAGTTTTTACATAAGTATCTGCATTCTACAGAAGCTGCGGGCCCGCAATCGCTGCGGGGCGCAATGAGTTCTTAGCCTAAGATAGATACATAATAAAATTGCTGTGTAGACAAATATATTAAAAATATACCTGCAGGTTGGTGGGGTCTTTGTAGCTCTCATCGCTGGCGGCCTGCAGCTTCTCCTGGATCCAGGACTCCAGCTCGTCGGCGTCTCGCTTGAAGTACTGGAAGCGTCTGGAGTCTTCCAGCTTCTCGCGCTTGGCGCGCGCCTCTTGCTTGAAGTCCTCATATCGGTTCAGCACCTTTGGTAGACAAGCATATGATAAGTTTTGGAAAACAATTGTTCAATACTGTGGTAGAGATATTTTGTTACTTAAAAATACACTTGTTGACACTAAATGTTGGTTTACATGCATCAAATATTAGTCATGTACTATATCTTGTTGACATCATACTACAACCTTGATAAGATTACTCAAGGAATGCACATTGCACCCAAAGTAATTTTTCAATACATGGTATCCTGTGGCCTTATAAACTTCAACAACAACAAATTGCTGAGTTATGATCCTATCAAGAAATCGTTCTATCAAAATGACGCTTGTGAATATGAATTTACAACTGTTTTTCAATAGGACGACTTTTAAACGTCAACGAGATTTTGACTGTATCAAAATACGTGAATTAGGCCACTGTTGACTGTTGTTAATGTTGAGTTACCTTACAATAACTATTACATTTGGATATTCCTTATGTTAAATGTTTATTAAACACATTTAAGTTACTAAGAAATAATTTTTCAAACAAACCTGTTCACGGCGCTCCTGAATATCCTCGGCTGTCTCGAGGATCTTCACCTCCTTGGGTGGGGGAATCTGCTCCATGACGGATGCGTCGAATCAACTGTAACAATTTATTTTATTTAAAATATAACAAAATTATAAACTATTTTACAATCTATTCAAATTAACATTACCCTAATTTTTTCCTAATATGACGTATGTACTTTAAAAATTTAAGTCACAATTAAAGCTGTTGATCCTGGATCCGGATAGGGTCCAAACTTAATTTACAATCTATCCATGGGATATGGTCCATCAAAAAAAATATCTATCACTTTTTTTAGCATGTGAAATGGAAAACATTTCCCCTGGTACTTTCAAAATTGATATTACAGTTGAGGATGGCTAGTACACAAAAAAATCAGCACAAACATGTAAATTCAGTGTTACTATGTAATGCAGACTAAAATAACAGGAACAGCTGTATAATTTGAAAAAAAAGTCTTTATCTAATCAACCATTTGGCTCTATTCACATTCTGAGGTCAGACAGTACACTTGACAGTATTGTATGGGTGCTGACATCATGTGGCCTTGTTGTTGTGACTCATCAGTGGGAAAAAACTCCATAGCTAGAGATAATTCAGTTTTTTGGGAGTTGTTAGATAGTTCAGAATTCTTCAAGACTTTTTTTTCAGAGTTAAACACTGAAATATCCATGAGTATAATATTATGTACTAATTAATTGTTAATTAGAATTTTTATTTAATTCTCCATTACAGACTTATTAGATTCTAGAAAAATGTGAATGATGTTTAAATTAATACAGCATTATTATTGGATAATTATTTCATATTTTAATTAAATACAATGGATCAACTTGTTTGATGTAATGAGTCAATTAGTGTCAATTCAAATCTAATTAAGTTATCCAGCTATGTGAATCAATTGTCACATTTTTTGTTCTAATAATGAGAATACAGATAAAACCAATTTAATTGAATAATGAACATAACATGATAAACAGCAACAGTACAATTACTTACTTTTTGGTACTGTTTTACTATCTACTCTCTACTGCATCATTGCATCAGAGTTGGATATCATAATTAGTAATAACAGCCGGTTAAAGTTACTGCCTTCTCCCCAGTACCCACTGCACTCAGGTAATCAATACTTATGTAATTTAATCAAGCATGTATGTGCTCACATTAACACACTTATGTGCATGGGTGTGGCTTGGCAACTGCATTCTATCTAATTTAATGCATCCATGAAATTAATATTATGCTGAATAATCTTAAAAGATACTTTTAAAAATATAATAAAATACAATTTTGTAACCAATAAATTAATTCACTACATTGATTTAGAAAAACGTTGAAAATGTTTATTTCAATCAGCTGATTTGGTGACAATGGCATGAGAATTTACATTAATGAAAGAAATTAAATATTATAGGCAATAACATCTACTCTGCAGGAAATAAACAGGAATTCTAATCAAATTAAATGGGCTCACATACCTAATGTAGAAAGTAATCAATATTAAAAACAGCACTGCAGTATTTGTAATCAATATTCAGCAAGCACTATCAAGATACTGTGAAAATTATCAATAGATGGAAAGTAGTAGTTTTGACGCGGCGCTGTCGATTCGCGACGGTGCTCCAGATTCCACGCCTGGCACGCTCCAGCGCCTCCGCTCGGCACTCACACAGCTGCCGGCGGACCTATCTATGCAGTACCTACGCCGACCTCATACCCATTTCCCCTCTTATGTACAATGACGTAATGCTCCAAAATAAACCTAATAAGGATAACGGTGCAGGATAAATATAGACTTCCGCAGGACGTAACCCTTATGTGAACATATTAGCTAACGGATTCTAATAGGATTTTAAGACACAAAAGCTAACATTTTGATCAAATAATAAGAAAATAGAGAAATAACAGTCGGTGATATACATGGGTGTGTCATCTGATGATAAGAAATTCTAGTTTCACAAATCGATCACAATAAAACTAATACCTTCAATATTAAGCAAACTTACCTTTGTACGTTTTACACACCAAACTTAGCACAAAATTTCACTAAAAATACTTAATTTCATGGAAAATCGTTCGTTCGACATGCAGCCGCGTCACTTCGCCGTCACTAATGTTGCCATAATAAAAACATATAAAATAGATTGGTAATTTTCTGACATTACAAACGGTGATGAGAAATTGAAATTTTCTTTTTATCACAAACGTGTTTTATCTAGTAAAACTCTCAGTTTTTGGTTTCTTACATTAAAAATGGTAGATAATTATGGAAAACTCAAATCAGATAGAAAACTTACAGCATGCTTCGTAAACATAATGTTCGTAGAATTGCATGATGGCAATACCAAAATTCAGTTGTCAAAAAATTCTTGCTCTGGCTGGGTCCTTGTGTTTGTTGTATCAATTTGTATGTCAATTATCAATTAACCCTTGTTTAACAATGGCTTGTTGATTATTAAAAAGCTGTGCTCTGGACTGATACTATCGATGTGCACTGTGGAGCGCGCGTAAAACATGGCGACCGGAGGCGAAGATCTCTGGCGCGAGTGCGCGTCCTGGCTGACGAGATGTGGCTTGCTGCGTCCGGACCACAAGGCGAATTGGGAAACTAGCACCATCCACGACCTGGCGTACACCCTACGCGATGGAGTTCTGTTGTGTAACCTCTTGAACGTGCTGCACCCCGGCTGCATCGACATGAAGGACGTGAACCAACGGCCTCAGATGGCGCAGGTAATCGGGCCCCATCCACTGTGACCTTCGCTCTAATTATTATAAACCATTAATTTCGACTGGTATCTGAAATAAGTGTGACGCGAGACTAATTCATGGACATACCATTGTGTTGTCCAATAATTGTGGAGTTACAATATGGTTCAACATGTTTTTGGTCTATTTGCTCCTAAATAACGTTAATTTATTGGGTAGAATTCTAAATATTACTGATGGTAATATCAAGTAAGTCCCATGTCTTTGTACTATCATATTTGTATTGATTCAGTATATTCTTGACTTGTTTAATTATGCATACAGGAATGAATGGCATTACAGTGTCATTGATACCCCCTATTGAGTGTGTCAATAGTACTCAGAAATAGTTCCGGTGTTATCTGCTTCGTAAACTTGTGAATGACCGGGCTGTCTGTGTGATGTATACCTACTACATTAACTACATACTTTCTCTTCATATAAGCAGAGCGAAAGTTTTATTATTTATTGTTTAAATGCTGTAAGATGGATGGGAAACAGCTGATTAGCTATTAATTAATGCCTTGATTCAATGTTTCCCTGATGTTATTTACTTACAGCTTATTACATAATATAATGTAGTGCACACTTTATCTTATTAATTTTGCTCTCATAGTAGATAAAATGAATTATACATGTACATAAATTTTATCTGAACACAGGAAGGCACTACCAATCTCTGTGGAAGTAATTACATTTTGTTGATATATTCTGACTTTAGTAAATAGTTAATTGTCAGCTTACTTCAAGAATGTTACAAATTATATTATTCTGCCATTATAATTATAATGACCCAGTTATATTATTTTCAACTATAAACATGTTAAATAGGGGGAAACAGGATATGGAAATGAGGAAACAAAGATAAGCATATTACTCAATAATATCAATTAGGAACAAATAACAAATACATTTCCTATTTATTGATAAACCAAACACCTTTGTCAATATGTTTAATAGCAATATTGCTATTTTTTTAAATATTGCAATACAAACACAAAACTAATTGAGTAATTAGTTACTGAGTAGTAAGATTTTTTAAATTATGCCAGGTGCAAACACAATAGTGAGATGGACTTGCTGACAAGAGTCTATACAAAGTCATATTTTACCAAGTTACATTATGTTCATAAACAATTGAAGCTTGCAACAATCTTAAGGCACCAATGACAATAAGGTATTTAACATTAATTTTATTGTTCACAGTTCTTGTGCATGCGCAACATAAAAGTGTTCCTGAGGACATGCCATGAAGTGTTTGAGCTTCGGGAGACAGATCTGTTTGACCCATCAATGCTGTTTGATCTGTCCAACTTCCATCGAGTACTGTGCACACTGGCAAAGTTGAGCCAATGTCCCAAAGCACAAGTCAAAAATGTTAAGTGAGTATTATTCTACAAATTGATGTTTTCATTGGTTTGAATACATACTTGTCTATTACTTTGCCTAGCTTTGTTTGTTTAAAAGTAATATTATGTCACAACTTTACATAACTATTCTGAGTAATTTGATAATTTCTATTTACTCTTCCAGTCGGGCTAGGATGCGCGCCGTGATAAAATCTTATCGATGATTTCGTCGAAATGTATGGGCTTATGATGTAAAATCGATAAAATGGCGCGATAAACGCCTATCGCGGTGCGCATCGCATGGCCTGCAGGGAAATTTCTATACTCTGGGTACATGACCAGTACAAAGTATTTCAATGAATAAATTAATTCCTTTTTTTTTTCAGACCATTTTCAGCACACAGGACCCAGTCCGAAGAAGATATTTATAAAGACCTGCAATCTGTGTAAGTACCTTCACGTTTCTATTTCACCAATCACTAACGTTAGTAAAGTTATTTCAATAGAGCACAAACTGGAAATGAACTGGTTGGCTAAATTGTAGTAGCGCGAGCGTGTCGCTCGAAGCGCCGCCGTACAGCATGAGCGGGAGCCCCGAAGGCGCGGCGCAGGCCGAGGTGCCGTGGGTGCAGTTCACCATCCCCAGCGCCACCTGCGAAGATCGCGTCGAAGAAATTTACGAGGACCTCTGCTATGTCAAGTTCACTTCAGCGATGCCGGAGGTGGCCCCACATCATTGCGAACTGCTCGGTTTCCGCTAGAGATTCATAAAAAATATCCTTGATTGTTCAGCACTTGTAGAGGTCGTTTGTAGCATACAGCACATTTCGCAATCGTAACTCTCAAGGTGCTAGTTTTGCAATCGTTAATACGGTCGGTAATAAGTAATCAGTACCATTTCAGTATTTATGTAAACATTAAACGTATTCGTAAAGTAATTCGTAAAATTAATTAATTAACGAAATGATAATCTCTATTGGATACCAGCAAAAATTCAGTGACAATGCTGTTCTTTACTAATTCGACAGTTAATCGTGTCGTAATTGCGTGTTGTTTGAAATCCGAAGAAATGTGAGTTACATTATTTCGTTAATATTAATAAACCATTCTGCAATATTTGCATTAATGTGTCAATAAACAGAGTATGACAAATTGTATTTCCTAATATTTAAAAGTTTGAAGAGCCCAACCTTTCTATACTGATATGATAACCAAGTTCACATCAAGTACTTCTTAGAATGTTGTCATTTTGACTTTATCTGCGAGTAGGTAAAGAACAGTATTGGCTTGTTGTTAATCTGCGCGTTGACGACCGGCTGGTTTGTTTGGCGATCGAATAGATTGGTACATAGTTCGCTTCTTGATATACGGGCATGACGACACAAGCTGCTTAGTAGAGTGGTTTTAGTTTTATGCAGTTTATTTTCATGATACTAAACTTATGTTTTTTACTTGATACATTTTGGTAAATATTTGAATATGTGACCCGTTACTGCGCTGATAAGCTATTTTATAATAACGGTATCAGTGTAGTATTGGTTCAAATGACGTCCGGCTTTATCGCGTACGCTGCATGCGTGTGCGCAAGCTACGTCGCGACACTATCCTGCATATGAATCCTTGCTCAATCACCAATATCCTAAACTACTAACTGACTATGAATTTGTGTACTTTCCCCTGATTATTTACTTTAAAAACATTACACCAGTTCCTGAGCTAAAATCGGTGTTACAGAATCCGTGTAACAACAAGGTCGATCTCTCGAACACATGGTTAATGTTAACAAACAATCTATAAGCGGTGCGCTGACAACGCTCGGTGCGCTTATTTATTGTTGTTACTCAATCAGGAATCCCTAAAGTATTATTTACGTTTTTGACGACACGAATAACGTTAGTAGTATGTTTTAATTGATGATATTTGTCAACACGCATGAATAATTCATACGTTCAATATAGTTTTCGCAGTCCACACGCGGCACTCGTAATGTTGAGTGTCAGATTTTCCTTGTGAATGATGGAAGTTTATCATGCAGTTCCGATGTCTCTTTTATATAGAAACAGTTTTCTACGTGCTTGAGATACTGTACACGATAATAACTGTCAAAAAACTTGAGCAACGTGACGATGATACACCATCCGTCTTTTCTTGCAGCGAGTAATTGACATAGCATCTCGCACCGCGACAATTGTGCTCATTAGCACCTACATTCCAATTGAATTCCTCAGCACACAAACGTATTGAGTGGATCACCTGAACGATATCGCAGTTCATATCAATCGATCAAATATTTTAGACAATATTTATACTTCGTTTCTGAAAATAATGCTAAAAAGTTCTAGTTTATTTTGTCAGTCCATTTTACCGTTTATCAAAGCGGGAAAGACTAACTGCTCAAAATTTATTAAATGGTGTAGCCCGCTTAAAAGCTCATTCGGGAGAGAAGCGAGTAGAGTAAGCCCTCTGGAATAATATTATAGTTGTGTGTGATTGAGCATGGAGCTCTGCACCATCTAGCCGGTACAGTACGACACAATTGTTAGGGCTGTAAACTATTTGTTCTGTAATCAATACGCAAGAATCAAGACAATATAAATCGTATATCAATCACAACAGAGCTGTCTTTATCATACAAAGTAAAGACTATTTGTTATATCTTGATCTGCGCCGTTCATAACATTTAACGATATTATTATAGAACATCGGATTAGATTGATTCTTATGGTGCGTCCACACTGGGCGGACGGGCTCACGCGGCAAACTCGACATCCTGCTCACTCAAGAGCAGGATGGCCAGCGTGCCGCGCGAGCTTGTTCGCCCAATGTGGACGCACCATTAGAATTACAGAACTTAATCGAGATTATTCGGACACCCTGTGTATGATTAATAAAAATTGTAAGACTGCCCCTATCCGCCAACACGATTGTGTCGTACCGTACCGGGGGTAGTAGTGCACGGTAGAGCGTTGTTTGACGTGTCGCCGTCGGCAGCGGCGGCGCGGGCGCGGCGGGCGGCGACGTCGGTGAGTACGCGAGCTACTGCGCGCGCATCCACGACGAGGAGATATACCACGACCTCTGCGCCGTGAAGGTCTCCCGCGACACACCCGTCGTGCAACACCACCCGCCCGCTTTCAACACAGTACGCTGCTTTTGGTTTCATTTTTATTTGCGATTGCTGTTATCGTTTCATACGCGAAGACGCGCCCCAACAATTTTGGGCGAGGGAAGCGGGGAGCTTGATCCGAGCCTCAGATCATAGAAAGGAATAGATATGAACTCGCGCGTAACTACAACGAGAACCAGTGTCCCCACATTTCCCCCACCACAGCTACCACACACACATTCAACTGTGTAAAAACAAAGCGACTGAGAGTCTACGACAACATGTGCAACAGGCTTAAAAGTGCTGTGATTGGCCATACATAAGGCACGTCACGCACACTTTGAAAAAAGCAATTTATTTTTCACCTACGCTAGTGAGAGAAGAAAGATAAAATGGAGTCGATTAGATATCGATTAGCGTGTACCGATAACACTCAAACATTAGCGGAAGAATGGTGGGGCGCGTCTTCGTGAATGAAACGATCTATACACTCGTCAAGGAATACGCATTTATTCAATCATCATTATCCGAAGAAAGAGAGAAAGGAGACCGAATAAACATCTTCAACTACTTAAGACATTAAAGTTCTAAATGTTACGATGGTCGACATCAAATTAGTTTAACGCACCATTTCCGCGACCAACACACTTCCACGCAGCTCCTTAAAAAGCCATTAATGCGTTATTACTTGACGAGAGTATTAAACTACGAGGGATAATGATTTCAAATACCACACACGGAATTACGATACAGTGCGATAAGGGGTAAAACCCAAGGCCAACATTACTCCGGTCATGTTAATAAAGATAATCCAAATTACTAAAATTTACCACGAAAACGTCAAACATAAAATTCTATTGAAACTCTCAGGCAATGTGGTATTGGTACATTTAACTCGCTTAAAATAAAGATTACTCTCAGATGCAATTAAACACTCTCAGATTGTAAGTCGTCACATAAAATTGCACTTTGAATGACTTTGTTAGCAAACTTAATTCCATGTAATTACCGTAACGACAAGAAAGTACTTGCGACGGCCGCTCGGGGTGTTTCATGGATGGAGACGCGGATTAAACGCGAGACGAGACGTCGTCAGTTCAGTTCCTCATCCATGAAATTCCTTCGACTCTAAGAAATAAGTAAAAGTCATTGTATCGTTCCGCGCGCCAATTGAATTATTCATAAGCACGTTATTCCTCGTATGTTTCAAAAAATAATTTCCATTTGTAGTTAGTTAATTGGAAGTCTTAGCGATACACATGTTTTTAGTAAGAGTTTTGTTTTAGAATGTTTTATGTGTTTCTCTTTGGACTGTACATAATAGCTTTTACACGCTTAAAACCCGCGTAAACGTGTTGAATTTGAATTAATCCGGTTTTCGCTTGCAGCTAGCGACGTCGTCGCTCAGTCTAGAGAAACGGGACTACGTGATACGGGAGCTAGTGGACACAGAGTCCAACTATGTGGACGTACTAAGCAAAATAATCAAATACTTTCTGAGGCCGCTCACGCCGTATCTGAAGCCGCAGGATCTGCAAGTTATATTCTTTGGCATAAAGGTGAGAATTTCTTATTTGGTTGTATTAGTTAGTAACCGGCCGAACGGCGGAACGGGAAATACCGATGTCAGTAAACGGTTACACCGAGTATTTATTGCACGCACGAGTTACATTATGGTGATGCAAATGGTTTGTCTGCCATTATAAACTTAAGACTCAAATATATTCTTTGATGTGATTTGCAAAATGTGACAGATCAAAACTCCATGGAAACACGAGGTTATCGTTGCACATGTTTAATATGTGTAATAGGTTTTTTTAATTTGTGTTTATTTATTTATAGGAGCTTCACGAAACACACACCGGGCTGCTGCGGCAGTTAAAGCTAGCAACAGACGTGTGCGTGCCGGGCAGCGGGACGCCGCGGCTGGCCGATGTCTTCCTGGCGTGGCGCGAGCGACTGCTACTGTACGGCGACTACTGCTCCAACCTCACGCACGGCCAGGACACGCTCAAGGCGCTCGACGCGAGGGACGCCACGTTCAGCAAGCAGCTGGCGGTGAGTCCCGACACGCTGCGGCCTGTTGCGGCTGGCTGATGTGTTCCTGGCGTGGCGCGAGCGACTGCTGCTGTACGGCGACTACTGCTCCAACCTCACGCACGGCCAGGACACGCTCAAGGCGCTCGACGCGAGGGACGCCACGTTCAGCAAGCAGCTGGCGGTGAGTCCCGACACGCTGCGGCCTGTTGCGGCTGGCTGATGTGTTCCTGGCGTGGCGCGAGCGACTGCTGCTGTACGGCGACTACTGCTCCAACCTCACGCACGGCCAGGACACGCTCAAGGCGCTCGACGCGAGGGACGCCACGTTCAGCAAGCAGCTGGCGGTGAGTCCCGACACGCTGCGGCCTGTTGCGGCTGGCTGATGTGTTCCTGGCGTGGCGCGAGCGACTGCTGCTGTACGGCGACTACTGCTCCAACCTCACGCACGGCCAGGACACGCTCAAGGCGCTCGACGCGAGGGACGCCACGTTCAGCAAGCAGCTGGCGGTGAGTCCCGACACGCTGCGGCCTGTTGCGGCTGGCTGATGTGTTCCTGGCGTGGCGCGAGCGACTGCTGCTGTACGGCGACTACTGCTCCAACCTCACGCACGGCCAGGACACGCTCAAGGCGCTCGACGCGAGGGACGCCACGTTCAGCAAGCAGCTGGCGGTGAGTCCCGACACGCTGCGGCCTGTTGCGGCTGGCTGATGTGTTCCTGGCGTGGCGCGAGCGACTGCTGCTGTACGGCGACTACTGCTCCAACCTCACGCACGGCCAGGACACTCTCAAGGCGCTCGACGCGAGTGACGCCACGTTCAGCAAGCAGCTGGCGGTGAGTCTGACACGCTGCGGCCTGTTGCGGCTGGCGACATGTTCCTGGCGTGTCATGACATGTGCTGTACGTTATAACCAAATATCGGATATGTATCATAAGGATATTTTCGAACCCTGGTTATAACTGCTTCAAACTCACGCACAACATGCTAGTAGATTTAGGATGCACGACATAGTATAATTTGTCGGCGATGAGAACCAATCCAAGAAACATAGTCACCATTTTCAAATCGATTGCCCTTTTTATGAAGTAAAATAACCAACAAGATACCTAGTAAGATCAAGAGTATCAAGACTGAGTAAATCATTAAATAATTAATGATCGAGAGACTAATTAACAGTGATGACAATAGTCATTTGTCACGTGCGTACACTTCTTTGTGTATATGTAGCTTCACTTTTCGATTCTTATGTTGCCATTGGCATTGTTTATAAAAATCTGTGTAACCTCAAACAGAAATGCAAAGTACATTTTTTAAGTTTTAACATGAATAATTCGTTAACCTTTTGGCGAGCATTGTAACTGCCAGTTAATTATCTGATCGAAATAAAAATGAAAGTGTTAATATTTTTATGAAGTTTAAAGAGAACAATAGTATAATATTCTCACGTCAGCACCAAGCCCTCGCAGAAGGAGGTTAATTACGTTCTCATTACTTAACCATTTCACCGTCTGAGTAGGCTGTGTAATAACACAATTGACTGAGTCATATTACACGACTAGTGGGATAAGGAAACCGCTAAGGTCTTTGGCGCCTAAAGCCGTGAATATTATCTAATCCGGCAACCGTGACTGGAATCTGAAGGTGTTAATTATTATTATGCTTTTGTGTATAATATGAATGGAGGTGGAATCCTGTGCAACTGACCGATATATCAAGGACATTGTTGTTAAAATTAATTATCCTGTGCAACTGACCGATAAATAAAGGACATTGTTGTCAAGAAATAAATATAAATATTATTCCCTCTTTCTCACAGTGAAAAAGCACAGTTATTCACATTAATCTCTACACAGACTTGTTTTCGAAATCTGCAGGTGTATAAACCTACGTTTACTATTTCAACCTCATCTATTCGATAATGAAGAACCAATAAAATGACCTTCACCAGATTCCCTGGTAGTTGTAACTTAACACCTGCGTATTTGTAATAAGGTTCTTTACGAGTATTACTGTTGTGTGCCCGCAGAAATGTCAGAAGGAGCACAGCGACGGGCGCATCCAGCTACGGGACATCCTGTCGGTGCCGATGCAACGCGTGCTCAAGTACCATTTACTGCTCGACAAACTCGTGCACGAGACGCAGCCGGTACGTATGTCGAACGACACAGAATAACATGCTATGGTAAAAAATTATGCGCATAAGATCCGGTTTCCAACAAAGCGGAGAGGAGAGGAGATGTGCGGCGAAACTGGCAGATTATTTTCACCAAAGCGGAAAGAAAATTTGCTCTCGTCTCCTTGCCTCTCCGATTTGATGGCAACTGGACCTAAAGCCCCCATATTTTAAGCTTCAACTGTCTCTTTCTCTTTGGTTATTTACTTTTTTTAACCCATTACAGGAGGAATTTCAATATTTAAATTGTATTTTATGAAGTTGCTGTGGTGACGTGTCAGAAGACCAAACAGTGCAAGAAACAATAAATTAATTGTAATGATCGGAAATCGCGACAACACGACTTTTGGATTTACCAGGATTTACACTGAGTGTCATGAAACTGCATACGACTCGGTACACATGTATTTATTTTGTGTTTTTCAGAACCACGAAGATTTCCGTGGCCTAGAACGGGCGAAGGAAGCTATGGTCGATGTAGCTCAGTACATAAATGAAGTGAAGAGAGATAGCGAGGTGCTGGTACTGCTAGCTAAAGTACAGGTTAGTGCATGTCTAGTATGTAACACAATTTAATTTTAATTTAGGTGACTTCCAGCAAAGTTAACATCACAATGGAACATCTTTCATATCTGTTTACTAGCAACTGTTTACCGATTCGAATCTATCTTAATAGATAGAGCAAAGTAAACAATCAATCGTGAGTTACAGTCGACAGCTTATCAGCAGTAAATTTTTTTTAAATTGCCTTTTTTTATCCAGAGTTAGCCTGCCTCAATTATACTTTACGTGTCGTGTGTACCAGGAGAACATAATAGACTGGGAGCCATTAATATCATCAAATATTGCAACTACATTTCGAAGGTTATGCAGTTCTAATAGACGCGCGTTTGCGACAAAAATGTGTTGATTTAATGTCGTGTGTACCAGGAAAGCATAATAGATTAGGAGGGCGGCACGCGGGGCGCGGACAGCGACCTTAGTGCCTTACTTATTACAATGAGGGTTTTCGCGAATGAAAAATCCGCCAGATGGCAATACGTAGACGCGAGGTCCAAATGCTGCATGATTGGTTATTTTTGACATGACATTGACAGATATGACAAAATCCACCAATCACGCAGCAGTCAGACCCCACATCCACGTCCCGCCATCTAGTGGATCTTTCATTCGCGAAAACCCTCATTGACAAAAGAACATCTTTAATATCAATTTATTGATTCTCTGAGTACCTTTACAATAATGTTTTGTTGCAATATCGCCCATTTATCGTTATAATATCATGTAGTACAGTCGCGGAATGAAAAGGTTCGTCACCTTAGTGTCGGTTTTCGCTTGCACTAGGTACTGTAAGAGTCAAACCTGCCAACATAACCGTTCAAGAAACAGTGCTGCTAACATTTACATAAATATGACGTTTGCTAACGAATAAGGTTTTGCTTGTTTATTTTCAACCGACTTCAAAAAAGGAGGAGGTTCTCAATTCCACCCGTATGTTTTTTTTTTCTATCCCATCAGTGCAATGCAATGATGACATTGACCAATTGACAATAGTTTTTTTTATTTAATAGAAATAATAATGGCAGGTTGAACCAACAAGAAGGTTTTAGTTTATCAATCATATTAATCTTCTTGACAAGATAAATCGTCAAACAACTTTGATCTGAATAATTTTGAACTTTACTGACGAACAGTTAAAGATTATTTTCTCTAACTCGAGATTATTCTGTAACAAAGTTTTAAAAGGTAATATTATGTGCTCGCGATTCGTTGAAGGAATCAATTTGAAAACTGACAAACCTTTTCATTCCGTGACTGTACATAAGATACCTCAGTTTTAACGTGTCATTTACCTACCAGGAGAGCATAATAGACTGGGAGGGCGGCGCACTGGGCGCGGGCGGCGCGGGCTTGGCGGCGTACGGGCGGCTTCTGCTGGACGGCGAGCTCAAGGTCAAGGCGCACGAGGACCAGAAGCTCAAGACGCGCTACGTGTTCGTATTCGACAAGCTCATGCTGCTCTGCAAGCCCGTCAAGGTGAATTGTGTTGGATATTGATTGGGAGCATTTGTTGGTGGTGGAGCGTAACCAGAGTAAATACAAATGAGTAGGTCATCTTCATAGAAACGCACCGAGCGAATTTTGTCAGTATGTGCGTGCGCGCTGCATACGTATTGGCGCGCTCACAAGCAAACCGCGCTCGGTGCGTTTCTATGAAGATGACCTCATTTGTATTTACTCTGGCGTAACTTTCTTGGCTTTTGGGGTGATGGATCTGTTGTTGTTTACTAATCGATTATTATGTAATTGTTAAGCCTAACATGATGTACTGGGTTAAGGCTGCTCAACCTTTTGAAGAGTCGAGCCAAACGGTGGATTCAGTCGTTAACGACAGGCCACTTACATTTCATAAACTTTGAATCTGGCTGTACTGTGTACGGTGAGGTTTTAGAATTTGGTATTTTCAAACCATACTTAAAGTTGTTTCGCGGGCCACAGTGGGGTTCGGCAGCCTTGTACTGGATAATTTGGTAACTTTATTTTGTAAAAATTCATGACATGCAATAATCACTTTAGGTCATTAGGACGATTTCATAATTTAACCTACCGTGTGACTTTCAACTTCGATGTGTTACAACAGTTTTGTCCGTCCGCTTCACCAGCAACGTTGCATTAACACAGTGTCGACCCGCTTCTGTTCGCTGCCAAAACATTTACCGCGACGATATACTGGTTCTCACACAGGACAACCAGTACTCGTACCGGGTGGGCGTACGCCTGGCCGAGTACCGCGTGGAGGAGGGCGGAGGGCGGAGACTCCGCGGGGACGCGCGATGGGCCTCGCACTTCTACCTCGTACGCCGGACCAAGGATGCCACCTACACGCTGTACGCGCGAACCGACGACTGCAAGCGCAAGTGGGTCAAGGCCATCCGCGACGCCATGTGAGTACCGCCAGGCCTGTTCATCTCCGCGAGTTTACATCGAAAACAAAACACGCACGATGGCCCACCTACAGGATACTATTCGACAAGGCCTCACATACGAGCGAACATTGACTCACGCACGCGTATTCTTGTGTATGATGGAAGAAAATAAAGAAAATGGTGTACTAAATACTGTGCAGTATTTAGTACACCAGCCTAAATAATAATAAAAACACAATGTACTTTTTTAAGTTGCCTCAAGACACTGAGAGGTAAATAAGTAGTTAATATTATTCATGATAATTCATGCTAAATCATGTATTTCCTCCGCCATTTTCCGCAGTTTGGCACCTCACGTCACCATTTTACCGAAGTCAGCCCTATAGCTTCGGCGCAGTGCCGATCACTGACGTTTGTCAACAAAATGGTGCTTGACTCTTGAGACAGGCTAAATTACACCATATTTTTAATAACGTTGAGCATACATTTTATTAAATACCTTCGCGAAGTAAAACTTCTGTACGTAGTACTTATTATTATTCTGTGGTACCGCCCGCACGGGCCGGTAGTGATGCGCCGGGCCTCGCACTTCTACCTCGTACGCCGGACCAAGGACGCCACCTACACGTTGAAAAATAGCCAAAATTGTCTCACGTAATTAATGGACGCCCCTTAATCACGAAACCTCAAAAACTATAACACCTACAAACTTGAAATTTCTATAAAGGAACCTACAGTCCTACACCCTATGGTGTAGAAATCCGCTAAAAACGGATTTTACCTAAGGGGTTAAAACGGGGTCCACGCGTACGAAGTCGCGAGTGGCCACTAGTGAAAAGATAAACCTATAATTTAGCATACTTCAAATTACGCTTCATTGTTGTTACAGAGACAATTTGGAACCACCCGGCTGTAGAAGTACAAATCACAAATTCGTTTTACACACATTCGAGAAACCAGCAACGTGTCATCATTGTTCAAAATTCCTCAAAGGCAGAATATTTCAGGTAACCAGCCTTTCTTTCCCACATACCACAAAAACTTGCAATACACACGCGTCTGTATCGAAAAACAGTATAAGCAACGCAGTGTGGCACAGACGCGTGAGGCAGTTTTCCACACGCTCGGTGGGCGAACGCGACCTGCGTCAGACGACCTTAGCGAGCACCCGTGCTAGTTTTAGCATAGGCCCTTTAGGTCTTATTTATCCATTAATATTGTACAGCCGCGTATCGACTAGAGGCAACCTTGGGCTGAGCGCCTGCTCCACAACGAGTCGTGCCTCAGGTTGAGGCAGCGTCCCCATTGGAGCAAACGCAGGCCGAGGCAGCCGCTTGACTCGAGGCTGCCTCTAGTGAAGACCTGGCTTTCGTTCGAGTGTGACTACTACTGTACTATCTGCGTACTACCCGTTCGCGCTAAGTTTGCCGGTCCGTGTAATGCGCGTCCCCTCCCGCAACCGCGATTAAACGCAATTAGTTAGTTATTAAACGCAATTAATGTGTCTTCTTTTACGCAAATACAAAATTTTTTATCAATAAAAATAAATGAAAAATATTTTAAATATACCTAGTTTGATAAAGTTATAGACGCATCCCTTCGAGTGACGTCATATCGCCAGCGGCAAACTTAAAGTATACGGGACTATTCCCACCTCTCGTTCCCACCACTGCAACTCCTGTGTAGCCAGGATCTACAGCTTGACCGCCACAAAAACCCAACCAATGAAGGTCAAGTTTGTCCCGGGGGGAAAGTTAAACTGTCATTGGACCCGCAACGAAATTAATCAGAAGAACATAGGAGGAGTTCGAAATTAAGGTTCGACTTCCCTCCATTGCAAAGCGGATGACAGGTGACAAACAAAGGTTTAAAACCTTTAAGAAAAAGATTATGCACAAACTTAAAGTATAGTAGTTGATAGTATATTCACGTTCTCGTGTCGTCCCCCAGGGCTACCTGTGCTCGGTGTGCAACGCGTGCGCGCACAAGGAGTGCATCGCGCTGTCGGGCCGCTGCGGCGGGGGCGCCGCGCCCGCGCCGCCGCTGCCGCCGCACCACCACCAGCCCGACCAGGCGCTGCACTACTACATGTGGTCAGTACAAGAGCCACCGCCGTCTGCTACAGATACCCAAATGTTACACCAGAGTAAATACAAATGAGTAGGTCATCTTCATAGAAATGCACCGAGCACGGTTTCAAATTCGGCGCAGCCACGACTGGCTCCCCGCTAATCCCCGCTAAATTTTGTCAGTGTGTGCGTGCGCGCCGCATACGTGTTGGCGCGCTCACATACAAACCGCGCCCGTGCGTTTCTATGAAGATGACCTACTCATCTGTATTTACTCTGGTTACACGCACATCTGTAGGCCTAGGCATCTGTAGTATTGATTTGAACTTTATGTGTCATAATTAGAACAATAAATGATTTATTTATTTTAGGATGCGCGCCGTGACAAGCCATTTTAGAAAATTTTCGCGATTAGCCCTTTTCTCGTCTAAAATCATCGATAACATTTTATCACTGCGCGCATCCTAGCCCGGCTGAATTATGAATGTTGAATGACAAATTGCTCTATAATGTGTTTTCACATATGTTTATGTAAATAAATATCTTTATTTTTTTTATCTTCATCCAACTGTACATAAAATGTGTAAAGCCCGGACTCGACTGCAAAATGAGCCCGTTTAACTCGTTACAATAATTTTCATAGTTGACCGCTAGTAGAGATAGAACTCCGTCCAACCCGAATGCCGCAAATGCCCGAAACCGTTTCTCAGAAGCGCGCGTCGTCTCGTCTTGTCTACGTTTTTCTTCTTCTAATGCTATAGCTAATAGTTTTTATCCTGTTTTATCCCGTGATGCAGGTACGTGGGTGAAATGGACCGCGACATGGCGACGTCGCGGCTGGAGCGGCGCGTGGACGGCACGTTCCTGCTGCGCGTGCGGCCGCGCCACACGCACCACGCGCACACCGACACGCACTACGCGCTCTCGCTCAAGTCAGTACCGACGCTGTCTCGCTCCGACGTAGGCCTGGTGAGGGAGACGGACGCGACATGGCTGGAGCGGCGCGTGGACGGCACGTTTCCGCTGCGACCACGCGCACACCGTCACGCACTACGCGCTCTCGCTCAAGTCAGTACCTCGCTGTCTCGCTCCGACGTAGGCCTGGTGAGGGAGACGGACGCGACATGGCTGGAGCGGCGCGTGGACGGCACGTTTCCGCTGCGACCACGCGCACACCGTCACGCACTACGCGCTCTCGCTCAAGTCAGTACCTCGCTGTCTCGCTCCGACGTAGGCCTGGTGAGGGAGACGGACGCGACATGGCTGGAGCGGCGCGTGGACGGCACGTTTCCGCTGCGACCACGCGCACACCGTCACGCACTACGCGCTCTCGCTCAAGTCAGTACCTCGCTGTCTCGCTCCGACGTAGGCCTGGTGAGGGAGACGGACGCGACATGGCTGGAGCGGCGCGTGGACGGCACGTTTCCGCTGCGACCACGCGCACACCGTCACGCACTACGCGCTCTCGCTCAAGTCAGTACCTCGCTGTCTCGCTCCGACGTAGGCCTGGTGAGGGAGACGGACGCGACATGGCTGGAGCGGCGCGTGGACGGCACGTTTCCGCTGCGACCACGCGCACACCGTCACGCACTACGCGCTCTCGCTCAAGTCAGTACCTCGCTGTCTCGCTCCGACGTAGGCCTGGTGAGGGAGACGGACGCGACATGGCTGGAGCGGCGCGTGGACGGCACGTTTCCGCTGCGACCACGCGCACACCGTCACGCACTACGCGCTCTCGCTCAAGTCAGTACCTCGCTGTCTCGCTCCGACGTAGGCCTGGTGAGGGAGACGGACGCGACATGGCGACGTCGCGGCTGGAGCGGCGCGTGGACGGCACGTTCCTGCTGCGACCACGCGCACACCGACACGCACTACGCGCTCTCGCTCAAGTTAGTACCGACGCTGTCTCGCTCTGATGTAGGCCTGGTGACGGAGATGGAACTACTGTTAGGCCGTTTACATAACGGCACCGCGCCGCCGCAGCATCGTTGCATTAATTACTCTCTTGAATTTGTAATGAGCCCGACGGATTAGCAATCTGAAGTAAATAGACACTTACAGGGTAGATATGTACCATCCTAGACTGCAACTCACCAACACCAGCTGCGATTGCGATTAAATACCTGTTTTGTCTTACATAAAAAAGTAGAAAGGGGCAGGGCACATTACTATGTGCGCAAAAGTGACGGCCGATGGGGCAGCAAAGTTCTGGAGTGTAGGCGACGTAACTTGAAAAAGCAGCGTGCGACGTCCACCCACCCACAAGGTAGCGCTGAATGCGCTGTGCATCCAGCGCTGAATCCAGGCCGCTACCAACCCGGCGACGTGGAAATCATTGGTGGAGGCCTAAATGTTCAGCAGTGCCGTGCAGTGCAGCCCTAAACGTCCTGTGACTGAAATGATGATTATTTGTAAAAATGCCTTATTCCATTCTTTCGTATCTTCTTTTCTCCTCTCACTCACTATGCCACGGCTTTATAACTGACATTATTGCAGGACGGACAACACGGTGAAGCACATGCGTGTGTGCCACAAGCCCATCGACCAGGTGCCGCACTACTTCTTGTCGGAGTCGCGCTTCTTCCGCAGCATCGTCGAGCTCGTCTCCTACTACGAGAAGACCAGCCTCTCGGAGAACTTCGTCGGGTATGTAAGCTGTTTTATCGGTCACTAAACTCAAGTAAAATAGAGAAACACGGATCTCTACGCGACATTTTTTATATGAGTTACGTACTCACGGCTTGACGTTTCGGTTGCTATTTGTTCTTATTTCAAAGAGGATCCGCATTCCCAAGCTTAATATACAGGGTGTTACTTTGCATTCTTGCCATATTTACAGAGGTTACTATATTACTGATACTGAACACAAATCCGTAAAAAAATAATGCCCGAAAAAAATTTTTTTTAATCTTGAGTATTTTATTTTATCGACAATCTGTTAAACACACCACTAATTATCGTAACGCATGCACATCACTTTTTGGCGATGGCGATGGAGACTTTTTTACTTTTTATTGTATTTTTAAATATCTATTGTCTTTAAAATGTCTTTTTGACACTTGTAAAAAACTGAGAAATCCATCAAACACAAATCACGTTATAAATAATACAAAAATGACTGAAGTGTATTCAAACAATGAATAATTTAATCAAAATGGTGCTTGGAGTGGCGGTGGACTGTAGACTGTAGAAGCTCCGCTGACGGTGTCTCCAATCGCTGCACTACTATACTATAATCGGTGGTGGATCGTTGCCACGTCTTCGTTCCTCGTGGCTTCTATACTATGTGCGGTGTGACGTTCTATACGGTGAACACGGTGCGGTCGATGTCACACGCTGTAGGAGTCCGGTCTATACGGTATCCGATGTCGCTATGCTATAACGGTGTCCGAGGTCTATGCTGTAGTCGTTCTTCTATTAACTATCTTCACTATGAACTCGGCGAGAGTAGACTTCTTCGTAGACTGTCTTGAGACTATTCACTTCGGTTGATTAGAGAAGACTATTACTACTACTATACTCTTCGGTTGCTTGTAGAAGACTATGCTTGGTGCGGCCCGGCAGCCGGTTTATATACCCATAAAAGCCCGCCTATTTTCTGGAACGCGGTCCGCCCGTATTCGGGAATACGCAAGTACTTACTCGAACTCGCGGGAGTCGTAAACAAACTATAAGGCGTCCGGATATGAGCCTTATTTCGTACATCGTAAGGGCGGTTATCGCGGGCGCGCGTACTATCGCTATCCTTTGCGCGCTCGCGCTGTCTCTGTCTTTTTTGGTACTTGCCGAGCGCCGATGATTTATTACATATCTATAGCTATAGTTGCGTATACGTATTTACTGCGGTTTCTTTTGATATTTTTAGGGTTCCGCTCGGCCGATTTGTAGTCGTCCTGCACATACTCCCGCCGTGCAGCGACGGACTCGTCGATGCAGAAAAACAGCTAGCAGGACGACTGCTGTTTCTGCTCGGTGAAACGGTGACGGAGATAACTGTTGCGGTTTCTATCTTGCGGTTTGTTCTGTTGCTCCCGCCGGTACTGGAGTCTTCAATCTCCAGTTCTTCTCTTCTGTCGGTTCGCGTTGTCTATCGACATCTTCTGTTGAACGCCGTTTGTATCTGTTACGTGATGTTTGGCGTGATTCGGACGATATGCGGTTGTTGAAGTTTCTACGTTTTTCCTCTGTTCTATTTTCACGCCACGAATCCTCCCGCCGGTATGGAAGCTGCGATAACTCTCGCCAGTTCCTATTTTGTGACTCCCGCCGGTATTGCGACGATTTCCTATTAGCGCCTGATGGATTTTTGTCCGCAATTTCTTCGGGGCGTGTAAGCGAAACTATTACGTTCACTTTTTCGGTAGGCGCGACGGTATCGTGGTGCAATAATCTATGATGTGTCTTCCTGCATCCGTTGATTCTGCACTGTATCCCTGGGCATCTATGCGCTCTTGTCCAGGGACGAAGACAGCGGTAGCACAGGCGTTTCTGTTTGGCAATGTCCCAGCGTTCACTACTTTCTGCTTTCTTCATCTTATAGCAGTCAGTGACGGAGTGTTGGCCCTTACAAACTGAGCACAACGATCTATGTACTGTCTTCTTCTCTTCTACGTGGAAGACACGTTGGGTGCACTGTGGTTTGCTATCGCGATATCTGTCTTCACTATAAATCGGTTCGGGAGCGGCGAACTTTGCGCACTTCTCGGCCTCTCGCTCGATGAAGTGGCTGAACTTGATGAGGTCCGGTTCCTCTTCGGTGTGCTCCCAGGCGTAGTCGTACCAGCGGTAGCGAAGCGCTGGTGTCAGCTTCTCGGTTAAACTATGTACTATTTCCGGGTTGTAGAGGTAGTGTGTTCGATTGAGTGCTCGAAGTGTTGCTATGCTATTTTGTATCTTGCTGGCGAACACACAAATCTGTTGCGGCGAGTCGACGAGTCTCTGTAGTCTCCTCAGGTTATCTATCTCGGACAGAGCTATCGAGTCCGGGCGGCCAAAGCGCATCTCCAAAGTGCGCATAATTTCTTGCGCCTTCGCATTTACTATCAGCAAGGAGGTCACGGCTTCCCTTGCTCTTCCCGTGAGTGACCGCCGGAGTCTCGCTATATTTTCTATTTCACTGAAGAAACTCGCAGTTTCATTGTAGGCTGCTTTGAATGCGAGCCAATCGTAGTGCGCGCCACTGTAGTTCGGCAATTCTGCCACATACTGTAGTTGCTGTCCGGTGCGCGCTGCGGTTGCGATGGCTGTAGCGAGTTCAGTGAGGTCTATTAGTTGCTTTGATGATGTCGGCTGCGGTGCGGTGACGGTTACAGGCGATGGCGGTTGTAAGTCGCCATCCCCTTTCAAAGATGCCGAGTCATCTTCGTAATCTTCGGACTCCAACTCTATTAGCTTGCGGCGGGCGATGGCAAGCTCTAACTGTAGGCGGGCTATCTCTGCCTCCGCCTTAGCTAGTCGACGGGCGCAATCGGTATGCGCGAGTGGTTCTCGCGGTGAAGCCGTCGAGTGCTGTTTTTCTCCTGTGACGTCTGTTACGGATGGAGGCTCCAAATGCATCAGTTCCTCCTGTGCGGTTACGGCGGACTGCTGTGATGACGTCACGCCTTCTGGTGATAACGTCATGGGCGGCGTAGCGGGCTGCGATGCTTTCGCCTTGCCTTTCCTCGATCTTGTCACAGGCATTCTATAACTGTGATGTACTGTGCCACTTCACGAAGGCCGCTTCAATGTTCTCGAAGGTTCTATGTCTTCGGGATCGGTAGACAACGATCCGGCTCGAAGGACCAGAAAAATTGTGCAGGACTGTTTATTATCCGGCTAGAAAAACTGTACGGAACTATCGGAGGCCAGATAATCGATGACTGGAGTGAATGAGCGGAGTGGGCTGTACGGATGCGGTGAAAACGATGATGCGGTGGACTGTAGACTGTAGAAGCTCCGCTGACGGTGTCTCCAATCGCTGCACTACTATACTATAATCGGTGGTGGATCGTTGCCACGTCTTCGTTCCTCGTGGCTTCTATACTATGTGCGGTGTGACGTTCTATACGGTGAACACGGTGCGGTCGATGTCACACGCTGTAGGAGTCCGGTCTATACGGTATCCGNGTAAACGCGTTACATGAAAGGATTGTTTAGTGAAACTGTGATACAAAACGTTTATGTGTTGCGAAAACTAAAGCGAAAAACCTACGCTTCGTCGTGCTAGACTGTGCCTTCATCAGAACGGAGGACACTTTGAACACTTGATTCGCAGTACGTAAACTTTGTAAGTAGGAACTTATAAATAAATAATTAATTGTGAATAAGGTGATTTCATTTCATACTTAATTTATTAATTTGTAAAAATAGGGTACAATGTTGTAAATTAATTGAAACCCTATTAATTATTACGTATTTTTGACGTTCCTAAGCCCGTAAAGTAGAAAGGAAAATCTGAAATCAACTGAAGAGTATTTTAAAATAGCTATTATGACTGGATAAAAAGGCTGGTACTCAAAGCCATAAAATTAAGAACTAGGCCACGCCCACTAGGTTTATTCCACTTGCACCTGTAGAACGTGCGAGACAAAATTGGTTTATTCCAATTTGTACTGAAAAACCAAATTTACTAAAATCTTAGTGCACTTTCTTTATGGGAGTCTCTTGTTTATCTTAAATAATAGGTATTGTTCCCTACTTTTATCTCTGTGAATATGGCAAGAATGCAAAGTAACACGGTGTATATAGCTGTAATCAACTCACCAATAAAATATTCTTTCATGTACCACTTCGTTCCTACGCCGTTCGTCAAACTCGCAAACGCATAGTATTTGCTCCTAAAACTTGTAAAACAAACGCGGCTGAGCGTGCGCCCTTGCGTAGACTAATGGACTCATATAATAAGTACTTCAGTGATGTTGAATTATTTTCATGCACGCCTACTTCTTTTAGGAAAAATATCTACGAAATCATTAGTAATGCGAAGGGCGTATGAACCGGTTTACTTTATGTTATCTACATATAACTAGCTGTGCACCGCGGTGTTACCCGCGGTAATGCGTAGCCTAAATATGTGTTGTCCGGGGTGTCAACTAATTTCATACCAAATTTTATAAAATCGCTCCATAGCCGTTTAGATGTAAACAAAGAAGTAACAAATATGCACACTTACATACTCGCAAACTTTCTCCTTTTTATTATTAGTGTGACTTCTTGTCATTGTCATTACCAAACTATAATATTATGTATAAGCTATGTACTTAGTTTTTCATTGGTTGCAATAATCGTTTTTTCTTTTGCATTTTGTAGCTTGCCGAATTTTTACTGTACTGTAAAACTTTGCCGCAACCCTAACATCATTTACACATTAAGTAATAGTTTAATTTTGTCGAAGCTCTGCAATTTACTACTTTAGATCCTATCTGTGGACAATGGTGCTGGTTGCATTGTTACAAAATTTTCAAATTATTAAGATTTAGTACATAAGCCCTCAATGTAACTGTTTGTTGTCCCAAATAAAGAGAAAAAAAAAATCTTCCACATTGAATCTAGCTCAGATGGACAGACTTCTGGAGTTAATTAAAAAATAAGTTAATAAAAAAATAAGATCTAGGAGATTTACAGATTCGATCTTCTGATTTCTGCATTATTGTAGTATACGCATTCAAATCACTAATGTGCAAATTTTTTGCCAAGCTAATTTCGTCGTAAATACAAATAAATTATCTCATTTATGACCATTATAAAAAGGTGATACATCTGGCTCACTATACGGGACTATTCCCACCTCTCGTTCCCACCCCTGCAACTCCTATGTACTTATGTAGCCAGGATCTACCAATAGCTTGACTGACAATAAAAACCCAACCAGCGGAGGTTCGGCCTTGCTCACTATACTGAAAGGTTGTGATTTATTCTCTTTCCCCCTTATTAATAAAAAGTTACACCTAGGATGAACACTGGAATAAAATGACATTTCCATACTAAATGATATAAGCCAGAGTTCAACTAGGGTGTAACTTTCATTAATAAGGGGGTTTAATGCCCGTTTTCAAAATCAATCTCTAATTTTTAAGTGACCTCTATGGTAACACATAACAGGAATTTTGTTTTCATAGGGGGTCACTTAAAAATTAGGGATTGATGGTGAAAACGGGCATAAGTCTAAAGCCATGTATTCATTAGGCAACATTGTTGATAAACTGTTTAAGACTAAAGCCTGGTCCGTGAGCACGTAGAATCCCGTCCAATGACCCCAAGCTACCCATCCTTATCGCTCGCGCGTAATTATATTGCTGTCGCGACTGTGCGACGCGCGCCCGCAGTGAGTGTGCGAGCGCGACAGCAACATAATTACGTGCGAGCGATAAGGATGGGTAGCTTGGGGTCATTGGACGGGATTCTACGTGCTCACGGACCAGGCTTTAGTGTAAAACAAGTTTACCATAAACACAGGTTTCTGAAACTTGGCCGTCCACACTTGCTCTCCACTCATAGCGGTGAGCACGGCAACATGTATCATAAACAATGTTTCATCACCTATGTTTATGGACTGTTTATAAACTGTTTACGATGATGAAACATTATGAAACATTGTTTATGAACAGTTTATAAACAGTGTTTATCAACAAATGTTGCCTAATGAATACATGGCTTTACTGTTACATTTTTTCGTTGACAGACTAAACTCAAACCTCCGCTGGCCGTTCCGGCGGGTGGTGGCGACGGTGATCCACGACTTCCGGCCGCTGGACTCGTCGCAGCTGGCGCTGCGGCCCGGCGCTAAAGTTCTGGTGCTCAGCAAGGAGGGCGACAGCCGCGGCTGGTGGAAGGGACGCACCCTGGACAAGGTATGGCCAGAGTAAATACAAATGAGTAGGTCATCTTCATAGAAACGCACCGAGCGCGGTTTGTATGTGAGCGCGCCAACACGTATGCGGCGCGCACGCACACACTGACAAAATTCGGCGCAACCACGACTAGGGTTGCTAGGGTTAGTTGGCTTTTTAGGGACTTGTCCGGCCAAATATTGCCTTGTCCGGCTTTTGTTAGGCTTTTTATTTGGTTGCCGCGCCAGGTAAAAGTCGAGCCACAGAATCATAATTTTGAAGCGCACGCATCAGGATGTTGGAAGCACGAAGTCCGGCTTTTGTGATTTTCGACCTGGCAACCCTAACCACGACTGGCTCCCCGCTAATCCCCGCTAAATTTTGATAGTGTGTGCGTGCGCGCCGCATACGTGTTGGCGCGCTCACATACAAACCGCGCCCGTGCGTTTCTATGAAGATGACCTACTCATTTGTTTTTACTCTGGTTTGGCCGAACGAAGTGCAGTCAGCGTCTAATGTCTAATACCAATCTAATATCAGTTCGAGACAAAGTAGCCAAAAAGTTCGCAACACGTTTTAGTTACTTTTGGAATAAGGTTATGCTGCCAAGTTTTTGGCCACTTTGGGTGTCATGAACTATTTGACGTTGACTGTGTATCTACATTACGTTCCTTTGCAATTTAAGGACACCCACACTAGCGTCTCTCGAGTGTTAACGTCTTGACAGCTACCGAAGTGTGTTGACGTAGCAATTTTTTGCAACTTTTTTTTTGATTAGTAACGCAATCACTCGCTTCGCTTTGTCACTGCGTAAGCGCTAGCGAGACGATGACGTTCATAAGACGTTATAAATAAATCGTCTCATCCACGAACACGCGCCCCACCAGTTTTTGGTCGAGGGAAGCGCGGGGTGCGGGGAGTTTGATTCGAGCAATCCGAGCGTCATTATTGTAATGTGCGTGTGCACTCAATGCTCATGGATAGTGCAGCGTGTATCGATAACGGAAGAATGGTGAGGCGCGTCTTCGTGGATGAAAAGATCCATAATGTGGTAGGGACACCCCTCACTCCAACTGTGTGGCTCCAAAATTCCAAATGTTCTATTGGATCGCTTTCAATTTCCAATGCAATTTTAAGAATCCCAGAACTACAAACTTCAAAGCGGACAGCGTTTCAGTTTGAATATTTCCGTCCTCAGGGCGACAACCGGTCCGGTTACTTCCCCAAGGAATGCGTGCGGGAGGAGCCTGAGTGCATCGGCGCGCTGGACTGATGTCAGCTGTGCCTCGCCGAGCGCGAGCTGCACTACGCCGCGCCACCGCGCGCGTCTGACCACGACGCCGCCGACCTCGTCTGAGCTGCCCGGCTGCGGTATAATGGACCAGCAAGGCGAGAATGGAACGCAACCGTTTTGTGACGTCGCAACTTACCCACTTATTTCTTTAGAGCAGTCTTTCCCAAAGTGTGCGATAACGCCCCCTTGTGGGCGCTGCAGGATTAAAGGGGGCGGTAAGAGACCCCGGAAAAAATCGAGGTTAAAATATAGAGGCTTGGGAGGCGATTTATAATTCCATCTACTAGGAGGACTCTTAGACACCGACTGAGCACTCGACTCTTGACTACAAAAATGGGGGCGTTAAAAAGAATTTATTCTCAAAGTGGGCAGTAGACAAAATAAGTTTGGGAACCGCTGCTTTAGAGTGATAAAGTGAGTGAGTTTTTGCCACCGAATAGTGGGCGGGACGCTATGAAATGGGCGTGGCCTGCGACGTCACGTGTGTGCTATTCTCGTTTGAAACTTCATGCATTATACCGTATTCGATAGGCGAAGGCGACGGCGATGTGAGTGCAGTGAACTCAGTGTGTGACGGTGAGACACAGTGATATTATGACGAAATACTGTGACTGCATGTTAGCGCGCGGCGGTTTAACGAAACAGTTTCACGTGCGTATGGCGGCGACGCCACGCAATGTACAGTAAAACCGAATGCGATACAAGAAGCCGCCCTAGATAACTAGGGATTCAAATAAATTCGGAGGTTTTTGACGTGTGAAAACGCAATGTAAATACTTGAGTGTAAATTCGGTAGATATGCTCTCGGTAGATGTGCACCGAGATATTTTTGTATACTCGTACCCAGAAACACCCCAGCGTAGTGTGGCATCTGAGAATCGCACTTCGGATACGGTGTTGTAATCTCGATATTTTAGTGTAATATTTAATGAATTAGTAGTTAGAAAATTAAATTCTTAAAAAATATTCGGTGTGGCAGCATCATATTGTGATTTGCGCGGTAATATGAACACATGGTATGATATTATGACCTTGGTTAACTCTTCGACCCCTTTGCGTTATCTCTCTAGGCGAACGCGTCCTTCGCTCTCTTCTTTATCTGAAATCTGTCGGCACTCGGATGTTTTTGATGGTGCGTAAAAATGCTTTAATATTGATATAAGTGAAAGGAAAGTGAGAGGTCGGCTGAGACTCCGCGGTCGGTAGAGATGGTGCACCATTTCGTGAAAAGTAACTCTTACGCCGATGTGGCTTACAACTCGCCAAGTCTAGTATGAATTGTAGATTAGATAGATAATAAGAAATAATAATTTGCACATCTTGAACACTCTCCATGACGAAACGTTATGCTCAAATCGTGATGAATTCTATACATGATTTCACATTTTGTGACCATTTTATGAAACACAGTTTACAAGTAGTATTTTATTTACAGTTTTATATTTCAGTCAAATATATTCTATGCATGAATTTGAGTAACAATAGTGAGATGACGTGCCAAATTATTTTATTCAACATTTTGTTCTTTTTAACTTGAACTTTCATGGTACTTTTTATGTAGATACATTAATATAGCTGCATAAACACAAGAAACAACTTCTTTTGAACATCGTTTAGGGCTTAGACACTAAAATTAGAAAGTTCTGTATTTGTTTGGGAAATATTACATTTTAAATACCTCAAGTTCAATGTTATTACTCTACATTCCAGTGGTTACGTCGGCGTGCTCGAACGTATCTTTTGCGAGAATATATTTACAGAATCTGTTATTTTATTATATCATAATCGATGATATAACAGAAACAAAAGATGAAGAGCTCGCCGGAAAACCAGTCTGCTTCACACTGTTCATAAACATTCTAGCTATAAGAACCTTACACCGTCTACTTGCGCCAGTAGGTGTATCACTATTTAGGGGGCGTCCATAAATTACGTGAGACAATTTTGGCTATTTTTCAACCCCCCCGCCCCCCTTGGTGAGATTTGGTGAGATTTTGCCTGACCCCCTCCCCCACCCCCAAATCTCACGTGATATTAAAAAAAATCCGAAATTTAATAGTTTTGGGGTAATATAACTGAGAAACATTTTTTTGTGTGCTTTAACGTTGTCGCTAACGAGTGCATCAAAAAGATCTATAAAGTTAAAGATTTTAATTCTTGAAATTATCTGCTAGGGACGCTGTACAATCATCATACATTTAATGTATGTCATTTTTTACGCAGTCGCTAGCGGATGCCGATTGTGTAAAGTCGCACTAAGCCCACTGATTACGAATAGATCCAGAAAAACACGTGTAGTGACAGCGGTTAGTACTAGGGTCACATTGTTTTTTTACAGAAGTACCTAGTCTAATTGTTCCTTTCTACAAAATCACTAATAATCTAGCAAAATCGATTTTGATAAAAAAAGAACTTGTTTTATAATTTTCTTAATTTCGTCATTTATTCTGCATTTTAGTATTCACACATGCAGACGGAAGCATTTTTAGTTTTATTTGTTTAGACTGTATAGAATAAAATGACAATATCATCATACAAATATCATTTTTTAGTCCTGACAAGGAACCCTTAATATAAGTAGTTTCGATATGTCTGGCTGTCTGTCTTTCCGAGGTTTTGCTTGGAAACTATTGGCACTATTGTAATTTTGTAGAGCTATGTATATTAATCACGCCGACAAAAGGGTAGAATAAAATTTTGAAAAAAAAAATTTCTAGGGTAGCTAGCTCCCCTACATTTAAAGTGGGGATGATTTTTTTTTCGTCTTCTACCCCATCGTGTGGGGTATCGTTGGATAGGTCTTTTAAAATGGCTTAGGGTTTTCTAAGACCATTTTTCGATTTAGGGATCCGTTTGCAAAATATTAAAGTTTAAAGTGCAAATTTTTGTCCGAGTAGGGCGTCCCCCCCGCTAAAAACTAAACTGTTGGCTTGATAAATCTGGAAAAATTCAAGTTATAGTGCTTTTTATGAACTTTTAAGGAAAACTATAGCGGTTAAGATAGATCAGTTAGTTCAAGAGTAATAGTCGTTTTACTCATGTATTATAAAATTTCATACCTAATAAAAATTCCTTAGAAGAAAATATTAAAAGTGACTTTAGATGAAGTAATTGCTTACTTCTGAAATATATTGTGATAACGACGGACAACTACGGAACCCTACACTGCGCGTGGCACGACACGCACTTGGCCAATTTTTTTACTTAAGATTTAACCCAGTTTTCTGGCACTCTATTTCTCTATTTCTTATGGAAAAAAATACGTGATATTTCGCGAGACCCCCCCTCTCCCCCACGTGAGATTTGGTGAGGTTTTTGTTGACCCCCTCCCCCCCCTAAAAGCCTCACGTAATTTATGGACGCCCCCTTAAGAAATTGACACATTAAATTCTCTATTATCTTGTTGGATCTGCGTGCGCACTGTAAATACTGTTAACTTATTCTGGTTGTAGCGTATGAGTAGTAAGTACAGCACAATGAATGTTTTCCTTCCACATTCGTAGTCTAAGTGAAAGAATGAATGTACTATTTATGAATGTAACGATGACACATGTATTGTGAATGTTGTAAACATAACACTTTTAACGACGTCCTTAAAATATGGAAGTGGCTGTAGTTAATCGAAATTTATTTATGGAAAAAAGTGTTAGTAATCTCCTCGGAGTTTCTCTTTCAAAGTTTAAATTGATATAATCGATTGTTGGGGAAATTCTATTTATTTACTCAATGTAAACCCACCTAGCCACTTCCAAATGTCATAATAAAATATATAAATGTACCTTATGTAATTAAGAAAATTTTAAAATGATATAATAATATAGTGCCACTTTAAATGCTTCAATATAGTCTTATGTAGGAATCTATTAAATAAACCACGGCTTTATGTGAAGTTGTGAAAAAAATATAAATAAATACCTATATAAATTGACAAATTAATTAAATATTTTAAAAATATAATATAGAAAAAAAATTGTCTTTACCATGGCCTCCATGGTCGCAGGGTTTCAGTCGTTGTTATTGTAAAAAGTATATGATATATCATGTTAAATAAAAATCTTATGCTATTAGAACCCCATAATATTATTATTATGGTTGTTGTATCATAATAGATATATATTTTTTCTATTTAGTTGAACAGCACGCACCAATAATATTAAAACCCGTCTCACCCGCGGGGACGGCGAACCAAGGGCCATCGCATGGGTTTGCTGTGATAACACCAAGCCAAGGAAATGTCACTCTACTAGTGCAGTCGATCAAACAACACTTTGGTTGCTAAATTGCACCGATAAAAGTACACAAGGCACAAAAGTGTTAACTTGACATGCTGTCTCGTCCTTGCATGTTAAAGAGCCAGATTGACAGAATTTGGTGTTATGTCAGTGAAGTGGAACGTGTGGATGGCCTTTTAATCATTCAATGCAATTTTTAAATACACACTTGGTCAGTTGGTGCCAAATATTTTTCGAGACTATGTGCAGTATCCATGATCTCCGAAAACTATTTTAAAAAATGTGTCTCTGTAATGCAATGTGTCTTATTCCTGATTATTATAACTTAAGAGACTTATACATGTCACCAAAAAGGTGATGAGATATTATGTGTTTTAGGATGTTGTTTAAATTTAAAATGTAACTAATCTTTATGAAATAAATTATGAATTATTATAATATGACGTAACAATATGCTGCCTATATGTTCCAACAAATCATTATGATTTGTAGATATATTGTGAATAAAAATATATTTTTGGGGTGCAGAGTGCAGACTGTAGAATTCACTAAAATTTATCCCTGAAATAATCGAGCGTTTATAAAAGAGTGTAATAAGGACACTCATTCGATATGTTGTTCATAAGTCAGTGATAATTGGTTATTTAAATCTATGTTAGCACCACGCCACTAATGTGACTTCTTTACGTACTTCATAGGAATTAATGTTAGTGGATAGGTAAACAGGATATAGAAAATATATTAATAAACATACCCTTTACCGGGTATGTCTTGAAATTTTCTCCCTTGCTCTTCGCCCATAACATGAGGCGATAAGGTACAAAATACGACAGCTACTTTATATTCCCTTTTGCTCTATAATAAACGTTAAAATGGTGATGAACAAAAATACATTTTATTATTGAATGCAAATATTGGGGTTCTTGATATGTATACCGTCGGGTGTAATAATTAATTACATTATGATGGTATACTCGTCGACCGCTTCAATATTTAAATATGTAAATCTTTATTTTTCACATTATGGAACTTGGTCCATATAAAAATAATGTAACTAAGTATGATTGGTAGAAATGTGTAGTCTGTTAATTCATCTATCGATCCAATTTATATGCTGGTGCTCAACATTCGTTTCCAGAGTCGTTTTGATTTACCACAAGACTGCTCACCCAACACGTAATAATGATATTTTATTAGGAATCAAATGTTGCACAAATTTTACAATCACGATTTATTGAAATGTATAATATTATGTGTGGATCTGACATTGTGTTGTTAGCATGCACGTAATAATTGTTGGTGCTAACGAATTATTTTGTGTTCATTCAGTTGCATGTGCTTTTATTGAGGTCCAGTGAGCGCACCGCGCCGTTTAGTAGAGTCATCTATAAAATGTATTTTGATATTATTTATGTTCATGTTTGTAAATATTATACAGAAATGGCATATCTCATTGTTCTGTAGTTAGGTAAGGTAACTCCACAATAAATACACACTTGGAGATTAATATTGGTTTTATTTTAAACAATACTTAAGTATAACAAATGTACATATTTAATACAATAAAATAAAATTATTTCAACTATCACATCAATAATTTACTTATCTTACTTCAAATCAGGGGTGCTGCTTCCTAAATACGCCCTTAAGTCAGTAACAGTGGATCTTATGAGCTTAGCAGGGATGGTGGGTCGTTGCAATCGCTTGTAGGCGGCGAAGCGGTGGCAGCCGCCGAAGCTGTAGTAGTAGTCGCCGCCTTCCGACCCCTTGATCCACAGGATGTCTATGGGAGGCACGTTGCCTGCATCTTCTTCTTTCTGAAAACGGTTTATAACAAGTTAATCACAATGGCATTCCTATTCTTTACAAACCGTATTATAAAGTGAAATCGAAAAAGTAAAACTCATACGAGTCTTAACAACTCATACAGAATAGATTTTCAAGCAAGTCCATAATCATCATATAAAAATAAAATCAAGTGCTTGTTGTTGTAACACAATGCAATAAACAAATCGTAAATAGCAGTCATGATTTATATCGGTTTGCAGAACAGTTATANTTCAATTAATAGGGAATCTGTCAAAAAAAAGAAATCTGAGAAAATTCGACCCAAAAAAAAGATAAAAAAATTTAAAGCCTACTGGGTCATACAATTTGAAAAAATCACAAAATTGACGATAACTTCTAAACTATGAAAAATCGTAGAACATACATGGGGGTGAAATCGATAGGTCTAGTCCTCACCTATCACCTGCCTTCGGCTTGACACCTTACAAGAAACACCCTGTATATTTGTAGTCAAATAAGGATACAAATTAATATCAATACACCCAATATTTTATAAATTTATTGATATTATTAATTCTTGAATGCACGCTAATATCTTATTTTACCGATATGATCAGTTTATTATGATCATAATCACTTAATTGACTAATTAAGTAATGCTTTATCTAGGTGGATATGTAGGAGGTGAACTGCTTTTTAATATTGACCATTAATACGGTTGTTACGATCTATATTTTTACCTCAATAAAGACCACTGACCTTACAAAATGTAGACACATTAAAGGTTCGGCCACACCAACGCGATCAGCCGGCGTGCAGCGATGGCGACCAGACTTAAATACATTGATCGCCATTTGCTTTGATCTTTGAAATAGATTTCGAGAGATCGCGGTTCGATTCTTGTGTCAAGCAGTTCAACAACTGAGACTAATGGCGGTTGGAGGTTTTAAGGTGAGTACAGCATCACATTATTTATTGAAAACTCTAGCTTTCCGCCCGCGGCTTCGCCCGCGTGTAATTTTGTTTGTCACAGAAAAACTATCACGCGCGTCCCTGTTTCAAAAAAACCGGGATAAAACTATCCTATATCCTTTCTCGGCACTCAAACTTTCTCTATGCCAAATTTCATCAAAATCGGTTCAGTGGTTTAGGCGTGAAAGCAAGACAGACAGTTACTTTCGCATTTATAATATTAGTATAGATAATAAGTAGGTAACTGACCTGTATAGTTTCCATCAGTGACTTCACCTTGTTCTCGTCTAGTTCCGGGATGAAAGGCCTGGTGATGACCGCCATGGGCACGTCGTGCACCTCCTCCTTGTACGCGCTGTGGATGCTGGTCATTCTTGATGCTGCGGGCAGATAACGTCTTCACATCCGTACAAACTGGTTTACCTTTACGTTCATAGACTAAAATTTTGCCAATATTACGTGCAAAGGTCGAGATCAATATCGTTAATAGCACCAAACTTACGTTCAAATTCAAACACATCATAACAAGTGCGTTCGATAAAATAACTATCGAAAATAATTCTAGATTAAATGTTATCAAAGCTATTAGTATGATTTAAGTCATAAAATTATCAATCAATCGATGAATGTAAACAAAGTGACTCCCAAATACTATCCTACTTAGCGAACCCGAGACTTTTCGCTACACAATGCCAAGCCATTATGCTATGCTTGCCACTGTACTAAAATAAAATTCACGATACATTATTACATTATTCTAGGATCTTTTGCACAAGTTTCAATGTTATATTAACCTAAATAATCAAATGTGTAAAATATAGCATCTACCACATCATAATTACATTTTACAATAATAATCTAATTTAATACTTACAGTTTCCTTGTATCAACGAATTGCTCAAAGTTCTAATAGATTTCAACATAACACTGAGTCACCGACGTGTGACTTCATCGAGTGGATCCGCTACACTGACAACTTCACAGCAGAGCGTCGTACGGCCAAGGTCGCCGCGCTCACCCGATAAATAAACAAAAGGTATTATCGCGTTTTATGTTAAGCGCCCTGCCGCACACTAGGCCACAGGTAATAAGGCTACCAAATGGCACAAGTGGCTATTAATATACGGCCAAACCCTGTAAACGAAATTTGTCCGCAAATATAGATTCTAACCCGCAGTCTGTAAACGTGCTCTGTGGTCGGCAAAGCCACAAGTGGACTAACTTAATAGACGGCGCTGGTATTTAAATGACTAATCATTACAAAGTTATACCACAGATACACACAATTTATCAGGTAACATGTTAAACATGAAGAGCTCAATAACAGCAGCATAGTCGATCAAATATCACAATTTTTTTAACAAAGCTGCAGTAAGTAGCTACGCGCTGTGAATACCAGCTTGATGATCTACTAGTCTTTCAGTTCAGGTAAGTAGATAGGTATAACAAATGCAGTGTGCAGTAGTGATCAATCAACATGAATTATTGATTTCTTTGTCAAGGAATTAGCACCGATAAGTTGATAAACCCCCAATGAATAAACATTATGTAACAGCAGATTGTAAAGATAAGTTTGTTTGTTTACTTCAACTTGTGGCAAAACAGTGAAAAGAATTTGTTATCTAATTAAATTATAAACAATGTTAACTTAGCTAAGAGAGCAGTTGAAATAAAACAACAAAAGTTAACTACACAAAAATGTATTTTAGTCAATCTTGGTGGTCGCAATAACATTGAACTCTCGTCGTATACATGGAGCCCACGCCGCCGCGTCAGTTAGTTACATTAGTTAAAACCAATTTATTTATAATAAATATTCTGTGGTATATGTGTACAGATTAAAGCATACAGTTCAGCGGCGTGATACAATTTCAATGATTCACAGCAAAATTTAAACATTCTCAATTAAATTTTTCGTTATGTTTCTCGTATACTGTTTCAGATATTTTGTTTTAGAACACATCAACTTAACGCTAGCAAAAATTTTCATATCCAAACTATATAATTCACTAAGTGGAACTAATACACATTGCGGGTCGGTTCGCTTCGACCGAAACGACGAAAATTAAAACTTCAACATTATAACTTATTGCTATATGAAAAAATAAATTCTTGTGCTATCAACGTCGGAGCACCGCGTAAAAATATATTTTGTTCTGATATTCACAACTCCTGTTTGATTTTAAATACGACACAAATAGTCTCAGGGTAAAACAGTAAAATATTTCCGAGGCCCGAATGTTTCGTGTGCGCAAGAACAACACAACCATCACTAATAAAATATACAGGGTGTTTCTTGTAAGGTGTCAAGCCGAAGGCAGGTGATAGGTGAGGACTAGACCTATCGATTTCACCCCCATGTATGTTCTACGATTTTTCATAGTTTAGAAGTTATCGTCAATTTTGTGATTTTTTCAAATTGTATGACCCAGTAGGCTTTAAATTTTTTTATCTTTTTTTTGGGTCGACTTTTCTCAGATTTCTTTTTTTTGACAGATTCCCTATTAATTGCAGATTTTTGAAAAAAATNAACTTTTAAGTTGAAAATTTTAGAATGTTCCGCTAAAAGCATATTTTTTATGTTTCTAGCAAAAATTTTGTATCTTGCATCAAAGATAGGAAGTTGATTATTTTTTTCAAAAATCTGCAATTAATAGGGAATCTGTCAAAAGAAAGAAATCTGAGAAAAGTCGACCCACAAAAAAGATAAAAAAATTTAAAGCCTACTAGGTCATACAATTTGAAAAAATCACAAAATTAACGATTACTTCTAAACTATGAAAAATCGTAAAACATACATGGGGGTGAAATCGATAGGTCTAGTCCTCACCTATCACCTGCCTTCGGCTTGACACCTTACAAGAAACACCCTGTATAAAATTGCACACAAATGCGTCGCCGCCGCCGCTGCACGCCGGTTCTAGGCCCGCCGACAATACAAACATGCCGAAAACATTACACATTAATTGCATTTTAGACCTTGCTAGCAAAACTAGCAACACTGGAATATCATCAATATGACATTGGATGACCAAGATCATCCGACCTAAAGCAGTGAAAGGGTTAATTCATATTGACATATTTTTGTGTCTCAATTTGTGCCATTTTATAATTCAACATTTTTAAGTTACCTAGTCTGACAAGATTCTTATTGCTAAAGGCCGATGGCCGCGTGCAGAGGCGACAGGCGGACGCGTCCACAGGACACTAGTTAGCACAAAATATCTGAATACTTAAAGTTAATTATTACACTAGTATAGCTTACATCTATCGTATAACTATATCCACCATAGAGTAGAGACGATTAATTAGTGAACGTTTAGAAACACGAGATCCCCGCCAATCGATGTGATGCTTTTTATAAATAACTAATACTGCCCGAATAATAACTTTAGAAAATATAAAATTAATTCATGATTCACTGGCTCGAATAAAATTATAATACTTTAAATAACTGCCGCTTTTAAGAAAACAAGTCTCGCCGAAAATATAATTACAACTATGCATGTATATAAAAATTAAAACATCAAATAAGAACGATTAAAACAAATACTGGGTACAGTCATATAGATTGATCAATAATACAAATAAAATACATTTCAATTACATATCCTTCCAAAAATACGTTCGCTAGAATGTGTAGTCTAGGGTAGTAACCGTAATAGTATACGTAGTCCTATGTCCTAAGGCAATAGGAGGCCGCGAGGGCCGAATATAGTACGTTAATGTAAATGGCAATTCAGTGGAAGCTGCACAATCGTTTCGTCGTGCCCGTAACCTGCAACAAATACATTTTTTGTAGACATATTGATAGTTAATTGAGCTTATGGGGTCAGAGTACGATGTTACAAAGAATATGCTACTTTATATTTTCCATATAAATAATACCTCGCCACTAATGCCCGGTTCACACATGTCTCCGTTTTACTGTTCCGTTTTATCGTGTACGTCTTTTTTCGTCGATGGCGTATGTAGTTGTATGAGCGACTTCACACATGACACAGTATTCTGTATACAGTAATACCACAGAATAATAATAAGTACTACGTACAGAAGTTTTACTTCGCGAAGGTATTTAAAAAAATGTATGCCCAATGTCATTAACTATATGGTGTAATTTAGCCTGTCTCAAGAGTCAAGCACCATTTTGTTGACAAACGTCAGTGATCGGTACTGAGCCGAAGCTATAGGGCTGACTTCGGTAAAATGATGTGACGTGAGGTGCCAAACTGCGGAAAATGGCGGAGGAAATATTATGATTTAGCTTAGCATGAACTATCATGAATAATATTAACTACTTATTGACCTCTCAGTGTCTTGAGGCTACTTAAAAAAGTACATTCTGTTTTTATTATTTAGGCAGTTAAATACTGCACAGTATTTAGTACACCATTTTCTTTATTTTCTTCCATCATACACAAGAATACGCGTGCGTGAGTCAATGTTCGCTCGTATGTGAGGCCTTGTCGAATAGTATCCTGTAGGTGGGCCATTGTGCGTGTTTTGTTTTCGATGTAAACTCGCGGAGATGAACAGGCCTGGTTCTACTCACCTCAGGTGCGGGGGCCAGGCGCCTACGGCGAGAGGTCTTGGTGCATGTGGTCGTAGCCCATGGAGCCGTCGTAGCCGGGCTGCGGCTGGTCGTAGCCGGGCGCCGGCAGCGAGTAGCCCATGGAGTCCTGCGTGGGCGCCGGCGACATCATCGGCGTGGCCGTGCCCGAAGCGGCGCCCATCGAGTACGGCGACGCGCCTGCTGCTGCATTACATTCGCGTAACCGTCACAATGTACCAAGGCGTAGGGGTTCAGCACAAGAGATATCGATTACGAATTTGATAGGGATGTGGACACTACTAACTTTTTAATTGCCACTGATTGCATTGCTAATGATGTCACGAATATTTATATTCGGAGCTAGGAATGTGTCAAATGTAATGATTGCAAGCAAATCTGATTTTAAATTTTTGAGCAAACTTTTTTATCTACTATAGTCTGGTCCGTGAGCACGTAGAATTTTGTCCAATGACCCCAAGCTACCCATCCTTATCGCTCGCGCGTAATTATATTGCTATCGCGCTCGCACACTCACTGCAGGTGCCAGTCGCACAGTCGCGACAGCAATATAATTACGCGCGAGCGACAAGGATGGGTAGCTAGGGGTCATTGGACAAAATTCTACGTGCTCACGGACCGGGCTTTAAAAGGACTTTTTTCATTTGAGCCTTTGTAAATGGTGTGTTAAAATTAATAAGTGAATGGTGTCCACATCCCTGTTTATAAATCAACTGTGTGGTGGCTCGAAACTATGATGGCGTTGGGTTAGCGTGGTGGGTCAGAAACATAAAATTGGGGCACACCCAGGAGTACCATTGACAAAATTTATACTTTCATAACTAATTTGTGTGATCATAAAAACATCGGCTAATCAGCAATTGAATGATGCCACCAGCCACAATAGTTTAACTATCTGTTAGTTAATTAATTTTATGTTTACTGTAATATGAAGTGGCTCTGGGTGGGGGGGAGCTAGCGTCTCGCCTGCCCGCGCCAACCCAAGGCAAGTCTGCGTACGAAAACACCAATACAATACGCGGCGGCAATTGTATGCTAAGGACGATCAAAGATCATCCAACATTAACATGTAAGGAATAAAGTTCATTATGCAATGAAAGCGAGCAATTACCGGCGGCTTTCTTCGCGGCGTACAGGTTCGCCTCCTCTTGAGCCTTGCCGATGTTCTTCTTGTAGCGGATGCGCTTGTTGCCGAACCAATTGGACACCTTCAACAAAATTATATTTAGGTCACTCCAGTGCTCGCCTAAACTATCTACATAACGTCGACTACATTGTCTACATTTCACATTTTTTCATCTTAACGAGACAATGAAACACAAATCAATTCGTAACTACTCTCTGTTGAGGCATTAAAATGTTTGCAAAAGTTCGATACAAATCATCAGCACAAATTACAAGCGTATAAAATATGACTCGCATCGTAATAACGTACTTGACTTACGACTCGATCTCGAACGGCGAGCCAGCCATTAAATAAAACATGACAACCGTGAAGGCGAAACGATTTTGAGATTCGTGATCATTTGGTAGTAAATGATTACTACAGCCGGTGGCGACGCGTCGTGAGGCGACGGTACCTGCGACACGGTAATGCCGCAGCGCCTCGCCAGCTCGTCCTTGACCTCCTCGCTGGGGTAGGGGTTGGCGAGGTGCGAGTAAAAGTACTCGTTCAGCAGCTCGATGGCCTGCCGCGTGAAGTTGCGGCGCTTGCGGCGCGCGTCCAGAAAACTGCAAGGCAAAACGCGCGTCAGGTTACCTGGGACACCGTGATGCCGCACTTGCGTGCCAGCTCCTCCTTGGCCTCCTCGCTGGGGTAGGGGTTGGACAGGTGCGAGTAGAAGTACTCGTTGAGGATCTCGGAGGCCTGCTTGCTGAAGTTGCGCCGCTTTCTGCGCGCGTCCAGGAAACTGCAAGCGGTAATGACCGTAGTAGTGCGAGGCCAAAGTTGAGCTGATGTCACACAAGTTTGTATTGTATTATTCATGAGACGCGTCAACGGTGTTTCTTCGAGAATCTTTTTGACAGGTGTGATTGAGACGCAAGCGTTTCAATGGGCAATTATGCGCGTCTTGTCACTGTTATACTGCGACAACTACTTTGTCGCTTTCGAACCGTCTGTTGCCATGAATGGTTAAAAATGCGCTTCGTAACTCGCTGCTAAGTTTTCTGAAAATTTGGTTTCACATACAATTAACCTTATTATATTAACTCTGAACTCCATCGTACATTATATCCTCTCCATTACGACTGTATTCTTTTTGTTTCTGCTCTGATGGAAGAAAGACCAACAAGTGCAGAGCACTGGGTCGTCAAGGATGTCGTTAGATAAAAAAGAATGATGGTTATGAAATTATCATTCATCAGAATGCTGTTATGTTGAACTGATTTTAGAATCGCGCTGACAGCTCGCTGATCGCTCGGCGCCGACGCTTCATACAATTCGGCTGTCAGCGCCGACGGTCAGTGTGCGTCAGCGCGATTCTAAAACCAGCCTGAAATCATAATGAAATATCTATAGAATCGACTCTATCTAAAGTACGGCCAACGAGAAGCGATACCAAATGTAAACAAACCCAATGTCATGGGTGAACCCGTCTGACATATTTTGGCGGGAGAACGAGACATTACGACAAATACACAAGATGGGAAGAGACAGAATATACAGGGTGGAATTTTGTAATGCCACTTGGAGGGAAAGTACTCTTAATACTGTAGATAGAAAATTTTACTCAAAGAAAACATTCCTTTAGTTTTGAAAGGAAAGAGAACTGCATTCAAAGATTTTCGAAATTTTTTCGAAAATTCACCACCATACTATACAATTTTCTGTAAATAATTAAAATAATTTAAGAATTCATGGTTTTCCTTTCATTTGATTTATCAAGTTTGTTAGAGAGATTTCATCCTTATACTTAACCCTAACGATCTATGCAATAAAAATACAGGGTGTAATTTTTAACAAATTTTAGTTTGTGCGATTCCCGGGTATGGCAAGCAAATTAGAAATCTTTGAATGCAGTTCTATTTCTTTTCCTAAATTAAGGAATGTTTCCTTTGAGTAAAATTTTCTATCTACAGTATTAAGAGTACTTTCCCTTCAGGTGGCATTACAAAATTCCACCCTGTATTGTCAACTCGACAGTCGTATCGACCTTTTGTATCGCTGCTAGTTGGCCGTACTTTAGTGCTCCTCGTGCTACGTACCGCGAGCGCAGGATCATGACGGCCTCGCACGTGGACTGCTTCAGCTGCATCTGGATGGAGCTGAACTTCTTGTGGATGATCTGCACCATGCGTTCTATTTCCTGGTGGCCCAATAATTGTTTATTAGTATACAATTATAAAACCACCATTATTCACAAATATTTAGCCAAAGCCAACAGCATTTTAGTTTTTTTTACAAACAAAGCACAAAACTTCAGATTTGAGGGATTTGATTGGTTGAATGACAATATTTAGACCAATCAGGGTATTTATTTGGGGTCCGACCGCTGCGTGATTGGTGGATTTTGACATATCTGTCAATGTCATGTCAAAAATAACGTACGTACGTACGCGTATCGCCATCTGGCGGATCCTTCAATCGCGAAAACCCTCATTGCAAGAGAAATTCCCGCTCTAATTTACTAGAAGAAAATGGAGCCTTCCCAAACTGTCTGACCAATTTTGGGAGGATAGGCCAAATCCCCAATTTAAAAAATTGCTTTTGTAAATTAGTGTTACACATAACACACAAAAGAACATAAATCAAAATATGACAACAAAAATGTATAATTTGATATGCTGTTGACTGTACCCTCAGATCATAGAAAGAGAATAGATATGAAGTCGCGCGTAACTACAACGAGAACCAGTGTCCCCACATTTCCCCCACCACAGCTCCCACACACACATTCAACTGTGTAAAAACAAAGCGACTGAGAGTCTACGACAACATGTGCAACCGGCTTAAAAGTGCTGTGATTGGCCAGAAGGCATGCCTTATGGCCAATCAATGGCCGCGTGACGTGACGCACACTTTGAAAACGCTAGTGAGAGAACAAAGATAAAATGGAGTCGACAAGATATCGATACTTTAAATCGCTAGGGGCAAGGCTCGAAACTGATTTCACAAAATGCTTATGTATGAAAACCTTTTTATTATTATACGTTATTATTAACTACTATCACGCATTTACTTTTTAATTATGGCGATCTGCGTACCGCATAATTATGTTTATCAAAAATAATGCCTATATTAGGCTTTCAACTAGCTCTTATAGAAATTACATAGTTGACAGTTACTAATTACTTCTACTGTTATTATTTTTTTGTAAAATCTTATAATCGCAAGTAACACATCATTTTTTATTTAAAATTACAAAATAAAAAATTATAATTTACTTCTAATTATCGATAATAGGAAACCACATTAGAACACGAGCACGGCACTATGTTACGACCGGCATATGCGGCCGTACTGTGTATTTTCACACGACAGTGGATATCGGAAGAAATTAAATACATTGCGCAGTAGTTGAGCATGACATAAAGTGGTTGCTAACTAAATCGTCAATGTACAAGTGTGTTAGAATTTTTATCACCACTGATTTCGATATCGCAGTAACTGTTACGGCACTGAATTCGTTCGTAAAAATGTTTAGTTTTTTTTATTTATAAGCAAAATACCAATGGACTTGCAATACTTACATGTAGTAAATGACTCCATTGTTCCTGTAGTTCTTCGTTTCACTTGTTTTATTGCACGTAACGACGCATTATCCAAAATATCGGAGAACATTTCCTTAGTACGACTGAATCGCGACTAACCTAGCTACGCGGGCGATGTTCGTTTCTGGGCATATCGCGGAGACACGCGCCACGCCTCCGTTTCACATCTATTCCCTTCTATGATCTGAGACTGTACCTCTCTCAATAATAACTAAGGGCCTTGCCACACTGGCGGATTACAAGCGTTTTCAAAGCGGAGCGGCGAACACGCCTCAGAGAAGTAGCGGTTGCGCGGCGTCTCTGCTGCGCAGCCGCGGCGTGTTCGCTGCGTCGCCGCTCCGCTTCGAAACCGCTTGCAATAGACATGTTGACACCATCAACACCATTGACGTACTTTTTAAAACTGTCAAAACGAAACTCTCCCATACATTTTGTATGGCACTACAAGCAAGTGACGTCACTGTTTTTTCAACTCGAAACTACTTTTTTCAATTACAATGCTTACAAAAATCGTAATTTATAGGTAATTTGAAATTAATTAGTTTTTAAGACCAGAATGAAGGGTCTTTTTAAAAAAGTTGTGGTTTTGAATTATTGGGGTATGGTGTCAAACTGTCTATCCGCCAGTGTGGTAAGCTGTAAGAAAGCTTGCCTTGGGCGTGATGGGGCGCGTGCGGCTCTGCTCGCGTAGCAGGTTCATGACGTGCGTGGTGAACTCGTTGCACGCGTTCTCGTACTTGTCCAGTTCCTGATGGTAGATCTGGCGGATCTGCGCGAGCTTCGCGCGGTAGTCCGAGTGCTCGATCGCGTTATCTGCTTGGGCCACAGTGCCTTAAGTTGCAGCGACGGGCAGAAATAATACATGCAACCACCGTCCCAGTTATATCACTTGTTAGTTGGCTACTGATTGATAAGGGGTTAAATACTTCACAGTTCACATACTCGTCGACTAAAAATATTACTGTTGATATTAATATTGCAATTTTATTATGTCTTGGAAAAGGATTGTGAAATATTTAAGAGTTAGCCCACTAGAATTTTTATATGAATAATGAACATGCATTATTTACTATAAAAACATGCAACTCTATTCCAGCTCTTGAATATCTGACACAATTAAATGGAACACAAATCCCTATTTGCATGTAAAAAATTATGATTATGAAGTGAGATTTTCAAAAAAAATTCTCTGTAACAGTCTTTTTTTACTGAGACTAATAAATTTTCTTTTTGCAAGCTAATAATGACTATAAAATATTTCTAAACCTCTGCAATACCAATCTTGTGTCTCCATAAATCAGTGTCAAGTAGAAAATAAATGTTTTTCATTGTTTATGTTATTGGTAAATCTTTAACAATAAATAAATAAATATTTGAAAACAATTCTCTTTTAGCCGTTTTCACCATCAATCCCTGATTGTTAAGTGACCCCTATGGTAACACATAACAGGCATTTTGTAGGGGTCACTTAAAAATTAGGGATTGATGGTGAAAATGGGCATTTCTTTTCTACAATTAGCGGATAGACTGAGGATGAAATTACCCCACTCGCCAGCGGCAGCGGAGGCGGAGGCGGCTGCTCCCGCGCCTCCGCCCTTCTCGGGGCCCGCGACTCCCTCCGCGATCAGCATGTTGTCCAGCCGCATCAGCTGCGGGTCTGGGGGCTCCTCCTCTTGCGTGTTGCGGAGTGACAGGACTAAAAGTCACACAAAACATTTTTTTTTCAATTGGCCTGCTTTTAGTGCGTACTAGTATGACTGCTAGTAGTTGTATATGTTCACAATGTGTGCTAGTGTGGAAACTTTAGAATTACTACTGGCATTTTTATATATTTTGAATGTGTGTTTAGATTAAGTATAGTGATGTGTATAAAAAATATTGTGAGCAAACCCTTCTTAAAGGTGTGACCAGTCTAATCTTTATATTCACCATCAATCCCTAAAAGTGACTGACTTTTTTAAGTGACCCCTATGAAAACAAAATTCCTGATATGTGTTACCATAGGGGTCACCTAAAAATTAGAGATTGATGGTGAAATCGGACATTAGTCTCTGAGGGTACTTTAATTCTTTGGTAAACATATTCTATACAATGTGTTTATTGTCTGGTGCATCATTTATTATTTTGTAGAATAGTTTTATTTAAGCACTTCAACAATATCTTACCAGTTTTTTCTTTGATCTCACACAATACTGAAAATAGGGCAGGTTTCATCCTGTGACAATTCAATGTGTGTTTTCTCGCTTGCGCTTCATCAAGACTCTGGTCCGTAATGTTCATGATTTGCTGCAATATCTCTCCAATGTCCTGCTTGCGAGCTTCACCCTCGCCCGCTGCCGGAGCACCCTCGCCTCCTGGCAATCCATAGCCCTGCGGTCCCATCAACCCACCGCTATGCGCCATCATCCTGTTCGGATCATCCATTTTCTCGACACCTCAATACATAAACACTTTTTAAAACTTACACTAAGTACGTATACAGATTTGTACGATGTTTAAAACAGATATTTAGAAAAAAATAGCTCAATTTATTCAACAAAACTAAACTGGGCGAAATGCCACAGCTTCATCAAGCCAGCAATAAAATGGCCGACTCCTTTGTGCTGTCAAAATTGAGAAATATGAAAAGAAAACAAATAATTAAAACTAAAAGTCTCTCCATCTCAACTTACGCGTAGAGAATTTGCACAAGTTGAAAAGAGAAAGAATTTTCAATTGCCATATGCAAAAATGGTAGACCTACACCGTGGAAAATACTAGGTGACAAATAACTGTCACTAGATCTCAATCAAGTTCAATCAACCTTTGCTTGAGATTTTAAAGCTGGAAGCTGGGTCTCCAGTGCGTGTTTTGCCCTACCCAATCCATAAAAACATGTCAACATTCAACATTTTTTATAGGCAATTTTGTTGAACGTTGACATGTTTTTGTTGTTTGTGTAGGGCAAAACGCGGTAGAGGAGACTGGAGACCCGAGTACATAATTACATGCAGATATGATGTCAGTGCAAAACATTCATATATGACCTAATTTTTAATTTTGTGAGTGATTGTAGCCCTCAAAATTATATTTTCAGTTTTTATCTCTTGGAGTATGAGTATTCTTTGGTTTTTATTGAATGGATTAACTATGCAGTCGATTATTTCAAGAAGTTCACTGTGACAGCGTGACGATACGGATAGCGCCTCTCTATTTACGTCATAAGTGTCACTCATTTTTTGACAGATTTGTCACGAGAAAATTTCGTCCAGTGGTGCCAGATTAGGCGAATTATCGCCATTTAGGCTACCTCTGGGGGTCAAATGGCGACTAAAAAATGCAAACGGCTACCGGTAGCCATTTAGGCTACCTAGAAAATAAGATCGGGCTATTTAGGCTACTTCGGAATTACCTTGAAAAAATAAATCCTAACCCAGTATTTTGTAATTCAGTTAGTTTTTTTAAATGACCCCTACCCCCTTTACTACTCCATGAAAGTCCAAACTCCATACTAAATCGGTTATTCGGCTAAGTCCTGCACCCCCTTTGCTACACCCTAACCGTACATAAATAATAATGATCAAAATCTGTTTACTTTACACATTACCGGTGGGCCAGCTGGTATTCTATACAATGCCTAGGAATTACATACACCAGAGCCCCGATTACGGTAACTTTTAACGTTTACAATCCAGACGCGTTTCTGATTCTGCAATACCATTGGTCAAAACAGCTGACGTACGCTGTTGACCGACCAATCGTATCGCAGAATCGAGAAGCGTGTCTGGATTGTTGACGTTAAAAATTACCGTAATCGGGGCTCTGCCTAGGTAAAGTATTTATTGAACAATAATATTTTATACATTGCCTACGCGCCCCAGGCATTGATTTTACACATTGACTAGGGATTGTAAAGAATTCCTAAATTATACAAATTGCCGCTAACACATACATTACGCACACACTAACACGCAATATAAATACACGATTTAAGAAAACAACATGGCCGCAATATAGGAAATGACAGGTTTTGTGTGTGTGTGTGTGTGTGTGCGTGTGTGTGTGTGTGTAGTTGTCAGCTGATTGCCTATATTGCGGCCATGTTGATTTCTTAAATCTTGTACTACCTAGAAAATTGATCAACTTACGAGTCTTGTTATTTTCCGGTGACATATGTACTCGGCACAAGCACAACAAGTCAGGTAGTGACGTCACATAAAAATGTTGCCAGAATGAGTAGGCTGACCAAACATTATCTATCTTTTTTTCATACGTCACCATGGGTAAGTTAGAAAGAGATAAACAGCTGTTTGTCATTAATGTGTCGATTTGATATGTATTTTTGTATACTTACCTCAAAATGTTAGGCGAATTAGGCTACTTCAGGAAAAAAATAAATATTAGGCGATTTAGGCTACTCGGTAGGAAAAATTAGGCGAATTGAGTTAGCTGATATCTGGCAACCCTGATTTCGTCGTGGTTTCGTCAGCACCACGCGAACAAAAATTTCTATGAAATTAGCCGGCAAACAGATGTGATATTACCAGCTAAAGCAAATATACATCGATAGTTAAATGAGAAACATTATCAGTTTAGTTCATAAGTGTAGTGTATTTAGTAAATATTCACCAGCTGTTTGCAGTCATTTGAGGCGAACTCACAGCTTGCAGCACTGGGGAACAAACAAACTCCATCGGAAAATTAAAATCCCTAATCCACTTCGAGAAATAATCATGGCTGATCCAAAAATTGAAGAAATCCTTGCGCCCCTTCGTGCCAGCGTGAAGGAACAGGGTGACTTGGTTAGAAAGTTGAAGGAGGAGAAAGCACCTGAAATCGACGTCAAAAAAGCTGTCGCTGAACTGAAGGCCAGAAAGAAAGTATTGGAAGACAAAGAGTTGAGCTTGGCACCAGCAGAGGAGCTTTTCGACCGTGCTAAAATGGAGGATCTGATCAAGAGACGGTTTTTCTATGACCAATCTTTTGCCATTTACGGTGGCATCACCGGCCAGTTCGACTTCGGGCCCATGGGCTGCGCTCTGAAGAGCAACATGATCCAACTTTGGAGAAAGTACTTCATTCTGCAAGAGCAAATGTTGGAAGTTGACTGCTCTATCCTCACCCCTGAACCAGTACTGAAAGCTTCTGGCCACGTAGAACGGTTCGCGGACCTGATGACGAAAGACATAAAGACTGGAGAATGCTTCAGGTTAGACCATTTGATAAAAGCACATTTGGAAAAAATAAAAAGTGAAAAGAATACAAAAGCAGAGCTCAAGGCAGAGATTGAAGATATTTTGGTTAAACTTGATGGAATGACAGCTGATGAGATGTCAGCTCTCATGAAGAGGTTTGATATGAAGTCTCCAGTCAGTGGCAATGAATTGACCCCTCCTATTGAGTTTAACCTTATGTTCAATACCCAAATTGGTCCTTCTGGGTTGGTAAAAGGATTCCTGAGACCTGAAACAGCTCAAGGTATATTTGTCAACTTCAAGAGACTGCTTGAATTCAACCAGGGCAGACTACCTTTTGCAGCTGCTCAAATTGGTAACTCATTCAGAAATGAAATTTCACCTCGCTCTGGTTTATTGAGAGTAAGAGAGTTTACTATGTGTGAAATTGAGCACTTCTGTGATTCCAAGGATCATCCCAAGTTTGAATCAGTCAAGGACACAAAAATGTTACTTTATTCAGCCAACAACCAGGAACAAGGAAAAGCTGCAGAAATTGTCACCATTGGGGAAGCAGTGGCCAATGGCACTGTCAATAATGAGACTCTAGGATACTTCATGGCTAGAATACATTTGTACCTGTTAGCAGTAGGCATTGACCCTAAAAAGCTAAGGTTCAGGCAGCACATGGGCAATGAAATGGCTCACTATGCCTGTGACTGCTGGGATGCTGAGTGTCTGTCAAGCTACGGCTGGATAGAGTGTGTGGGCTGTGCTGACCGGTCTGCTTATGATTTGACCCAGCACACTAAAGCAACTGGCATCAGACTGGCGGCTGAGAAAAAACTGCCAGCCCCCAAACAGATTGAAGTTGTGGAAGCTGTTGCCAACAAGGCAGCCATTGGCAAAGAGTTCAAAAAGGATGCAAAAGCTATTAATGATGCTCTTGCTGCTCTAGATTCTGCTTCTCTTGACCAGTTGCAGACCAAGTTGGAGAGTGATGGTGAATACACACTTGCCACTAGCAATGGAGATTTCAAACTGACTCCCAATTTAGTAAGTGTGAAGAAGAGCCAAAAGACAGTTCATGTTGAAGAAATAATCCCAAGTGTTATTGAACCATCCTTTGGAATTGGCAGGATTCTGTATTGTATATTGGAACACAGCTTCAAAATGAGAGAAGGTGATGAACAAAGAACATACTTCTCCTTGCCACCCACTGTGGCTCCCATGAAATGTGCCGTTTTGCCTCTCAGTGGCAATGCCGAGTTCCAGCCATTTGTCAGGGAATTATCTCAAGGCCTGACCAATGTGGATGTCTCTCATAAGGTGGATGACTCCTCAGGCTCGATTGGGCGCCGGTACGCCAGAACAGACGAGCTGGGCGTGCCATACGCTATTACTGTTGACTTTGACTCTGTGAAAGAGCCACACACTGTGACATTGAGAGAGAGAGATAGTATGGGACAAGTAAGGTTGCCAATATCTGAAGTGCCTTCAGTAGTGCGAGATCTCTCCAACAGCAAAATATCTTGGAAAGATGTGGAGCAAAAATACCCTAAGTTTGAACAGCAGGAAAATGTGAAAGGCGCTGCGGCATAATGACGCACGCCCATTCGTTGGAACAGCTGCAAGATGATCTTACCTACTTGTTTTTCCAGATATTTATTTGATAGCATTTAAGCTTGATTTTTATATTCTTTTTCTATCAATTTGTTAACAATAATTTGCGTAATAAATAGCTTGTAAAATATGTCTCTAGTTATTATTAAAGTGCCTACTCATGAAATATTTATTAATGCATAAGTATTTTTATTATGATGAACAGTAAAGTAGGTCGGTTGTGTATTTTACACACAGCAGTTTCGCAACATGCCATGTTTGCATTTTAATTCGAATTATTTTGTATGTGGAGTACATAATATAGCTTAGTCACAGGGGTGAAATAGGGTTTCTGATTTCTCGACTTATTTTTTTTCTCGAGTTTCGGGATTTCTCGAGGCCAAAGTCTCGAGTTTTCTCGGGTCTCGAGTCTTTTAATTAAAACTGTTGAAATTGGTTGAAATTTAATAAAAACACGGGTTTTTATTTATGTTATAATGTGTCTGGGTTATAATCAATAATACTGTAAAGTTTCAACAAAATCCGTTCAGTAGTTTTTGCGTGAAAGAGTAACAAACATCCAGACATCTACACAAACTTTCGCATTTATAATATTAGTAGAATAATTATAACTTAGTAATTAACTAAAGGAACAAAAGTCATAAAGTCGCGTGTAGTTTAAGGATTAATAACCATAAATATCTGGAGCTCCAATTGAATCACTTGTTTTCCAAAGAACACAAGTCCAAATTAATTGAAAAATTACGATAATAAACCTACATTTACAAACAAAAAAAACTTTTAAATAAATTTTTAAACTTAAAGATAACGACTTGAATAAACGTATTTACGAGTACCTAAACTAACAGATAGTTAACAAAAAAGTTTCAGTCTTTAAATCAGTCAGTTATACAAACATAATAAAATATAGCATCGTAGGTGAACATTATTAGTTTCGGTTAAGATCATTACTTGCAAATCAAATTAGTTAAAAAAAGGAAAGACTAGGCCAGTCTAAACGCAACGTTAACCTATTAAATAATTAAAAACTTACTTTTGTCTAAGAAAATAGGCTTTCAAGAATATTAAAGCTTCAAAATCGAAACTCGAGAATTCTCGAGCTCCGGTAATTTTTTTCTCGTCTCGAATGAAGCCAAATTTCTCGAGTTTTCTCGAGTTCGAGAAAGCTCGAGCAGAAACCCTAGGGTGAAATCACTTGTATGAAAGTTAGGATGGTGTGTAGGTATAATCTATTTTTAAAATCTTACTTCTTACTAATATCACAGCTAATATTATAAATGCGAAAGTTTGTATGGATGTCTGGATGTTAACATGTTTGTTACTCTTTCACGCAAAAACTACTAAACGAATTTAAATGAAACTTTACAGTATTATTGTTTATAACCCAGAATAACATATAGGCTATAATTTATGACCATCTGTGACAAATTAAATTTCACGCGGGTGAAGCCGCGGGCAAAAGCTAGTGGGAAATATTTACGAGTTTGCAACTATTCTACTATGTATAAGGTTTTAAAATCGACGTCGCAATCGGAAAAATTCTCAGCAGGACAAATGAAATAAAACTCAAAATTAGCGAACATCAGATATTCTTTTATCAGGACACAAAGTTATTGCAACATTATTCAATGCGTAAGCTTATCATTATCTATAGCGACGGTCTCTGGAGCGCGACCGATGGCGGTGGCGGTCTTTGGAGCGGGACCGCTCGCGGTAGCGGTCTCGGCGGTCGCGGTCACGGTCCCGGTCGCGGTCACGTCTGTCTCTTTCACGGTCACGGTCTCTATCCCTGTCGTCACGTTTTGTCCTGTCTTTGGAATATCTGAAACAAAACCATAATAATTTGAAAAATAGGCCATGTGAGTCAGAGGCTAGCTATTTTTTTATTGTGAAGGTGAATTACATGACGAAAGTATCAAAAACAGAATACAATTTTGAATTCAGATGTAAGTGAAAGTTCGTTCGTTCGTTTCAGCCAAATGACGTCCACTGCTGGACAAAGTGAAAGTGCAATACATGGACCTATAAAAAAAGTCGGACGGAGTCTCATCAACAAAATACTGTGACATTAGGATACACCAGCTTGCCTGTACGTACAGGCCGGCACGCACACATTCACACCCTGTTACACCACTTCGAGAGCAAACTTCACACAGTTGACACATTTAAGCAGCGAAAAAACAACACGAATACGACATGTCTTGTGTGATGAAATTGTGTAAAAACCGTTCTGTTCGAACAAACAAAAATTAAGGAATCACATTTCACAGGTAAAATAATAATCCAATCACTTATTTCTCGACATTAAAATATTGAAATTAATTGAAATCAAATGTCATTCATTCGAAAAAATAATACGTCAAAGACCAGTGTTCTCAGTTATTTACGTGGGAAAATTACCCGAAATATGGGAAATTAATAATGATTTTAGGACTTTTTAGTTATGTATTACGCATACTATGGAAATAAAATAATTTATCATAATTATTGTGTTTTAATGGGATATATTTTCATAGGCAAATTTGATCCTTCCCAAAAATGTGGAACTGCGAAATTCAAATTTTCTTACATTGATTGCAAGTCAGTGTCAGGTTGTATGTTAAAAAAAATCTATCAGAGATAATAATAATATATTGATGATGCATAAGATTATGATTATAATGTACACAAGATTCGTAATTTGTAACTGCGTGAATTATTTTTGATCAACATTATGTACATACCCTGACACACTGACTTGTAAACAAAAAAAAAATTTGAACATTGAAAATTTCGCGCCTACCTCAACGCATACACCTTTCATCCTTTTAAAATGGCACGGAATAATTCTGTCTACATTTCCAAGTAACATCTGCCGATCTATGTTTTTCTTAAAATAAATGGGTAAAATGTTTTGGCTAACATGGCATCCCTAAATTCACTCACACAATAGACAAACGCCAAAATTTTGCGTCACAGTTTTGTTGTAGCGCGAGTTCCGTCCGCCTTTTTTTATAGGTCCATGGTGCAATAATATATTACTTATGGCCAGTTTAGACTGTGGTGTTCCAACTCATGTTTCTGTTGATTATTAGGCTTGGTTTCCAAGGCAGAGCGGAGTAAAGAAATGTTTTGAAAAACCATTATGATTTCATTAAATCATTCATTCGCTTTGCCTTGGTGGAAACCGGGCCTTTTGTGATTAAAGTGGATGTATGTACCTGTTTTCCGCGTCTCCGTAGTCACGCCGGTCCCTGTCGTCGTGCTCCCGGCGGTCGGAGTCCACGCGCGCCGGATTGTAGTTGTTGCCGCTGCCGCCGCCGCGGGCCGGCGCCGGCTTCGCAGCCGCCGACTGCCTGTTGTGCTCCCCTAGCCTGATACACAAAAACTCTTTAGTAACTTATATAATGTATTGAAACTTCTGAGCAATCCATTTAAGTGCTTGAGTGTAAGTTTTTATGTTGAACAAAATCTAAATAAAGTCCGAAAACAAGGTAATAAAAAGCAAAATAGCACTAGTTTGGACAATCACATACGATATTGTGCTGCAATGCTCCAGTCGCCACAATCAAAGACTGTGGAAAAACTTTATGCAATGATTTAGTGAAATTTACAATATTAGTGATAATAATAATTGAAGTATAATTTCAGAACACATTGCTGGTTAAAACAAATGTTGCATGCATAGGCACTTTCAAAGGAACTCTAAAACGTTACCTACTTGAATTCAATTTGTTTTTGTATCGGCACAGGTATCCTTGGGAAGAGTGTGCTGAACCAGTCCAGTTTTATGAGCATTTGACGCACGAGCGATCCTATCGTTGTGCTGCCCCCACCTCCTGCACGAGGGTCCACTTCTTCTTCATCATCCAGGTACTCGGCGTACCAGTCAAACAGGTCTGCAGGCGGTTGAGTGTAACGAATATACATGAAACCTGTAAAATTGAGTCCATCAGAGTATTTGTAAGTTATTGGCTTTTTTCAATGAAATAATTTTACTTGAGGTCTCAAATTCAAATTATTTATTGCATGTCACATGAGATAGGATGGACAAAATCTAGGCAGTAATTAATCACACATAATAGGACCAACATTGTTTGACACCATCTAGTTTAGAATCCATATTTTACATTACTAGTTAAAAATATTATAAACTATTCATATTTGATACCTACCAAGAGCTCTGATGTAAGGAGAATCCGAGTGCTGTAGGAGGCCATTGACCTGCTTGCGTGTGAGCCGCAGCGTGTACAGCTTGTACAGCAGGCAGAATGCAGTGGACACTATCCCTCCAGCACCCACACCTCGCACCTAAAATAAACATTCATAATGATGAAGACAAGTCATGAATGAAAATTGCACATTCTAATCAAAATCTTAGATTTCAGCAAAGCACCAGTAAATTTAGTTTCATGGACTTAATTAGGGCTTGAAATACAGTACAACAATGAATATTGTTGATTAACATACTCACGCCGCCACACATGCCAGTTTGGCCTGCAGTCTTGCGACTTCCGCGCTCCCATGGCTCCAAGTGCTTCACCTGATAGTAGATCTCGTCAACGACTTCATGGTATGTCTTCAACTTGAATAGGTGCACTGCAGACAAAACAACAACATGAATAACCAGCCGATTTCGAAATCTCGGCATACTGATTCCAAAATAAATAACACTTTCTCACAAAAATAAAACAAAATAAACGTGGTACTTTCAGTCCAAACTCCTGTGCGTTGGTATGTTTGCTTACCTACCTTTGAAGTAGCTAGAACCTTGGATATTTGCTAATATTAAAGGGTTCAGATTCATAGTTTGTTCATTACCCCATATTGGTAATACATTGTGCTGTTTACTCGTTTTCCCAGGCTTCTGCTGATTGAACTCTGAAAAGCAAAGATGTTAATGACTCTGCTAAAGAAAACACTTGGCGTCAAACCAGAACTCTACTCACCTTCGACTTCAGTCATTTTACTAAGCTAAATACTTATGATTAAAAATTAAAGGTGCCAAAAATACGGATAACACTTGTATGCGAGTGCTAAGCAACAAAGTTCACAATTTTCTGATGACAACAAATCCTAGCACAACGGCGGCCATCATAAAAATACCACAGAGCACAAACCGGAAATGAAATATTACCACACTAGTGCAATGCAGTATGATGAGATTTCAAACCATAGACAAACTATCGGTTCCGAAATGTTAGGCAGTGCCTCTGGATTTAAAATCTTTAAATAGGATTACAGAATACGTAAGGGAATAGTGTTTTCTTTTAGAAAATTTGATATTGAAATGTTTGTCATGCACTTTTAGTCATTTTCAATATATAGCCTGACCAGGAACATAAAAACCCTCGCCATGTTGCGGAAAACTAATGGTACTAATTTCTTTTAATGGCAACAGTAACTGAAAACTTCATTGACATGTCACCTTGCATGTCAGTCTATTGCTGTCAAAGTGTAAACAAACTTTATTTTAAATGTGCGCAATTGGTTTTATGAATTAAATTGCTAAAATATTTTTATAGTCGTGAAAGAAAAGTGGTTCACAATGTGTTAAAGTATTTGTCGAAGAGAAATACTAAGGGTTCGGACAATATTTTCATTGAATAATGTTTCCGACAAAGGTTGTCAAATTGACTGACATGTTTATCGTATAGTACAGTCCACTATGAAAATTAGCTGTGGTTTGTTCGAAAATGAGGTTTTCATTTTTCATTTTTGAGGTACTAAACAGTAAAATTAAAGGCTAAGATTTTTATTGGGCATAGTTGATGATATTTTCTAGGGCTATTAACGGATGGAAACACGATTTGATGAAGTTGACTCGATAGAATAAATTCCCAAAGTTACCTCTATTCGTTTTCTATTTATGGTTTTATTTTTAAAATAAGCGATTTGAGATTCTAAATCTTTTACTAAACTAAAGTTCAGAAATAACTTGAGGGCTTTTAACGGATGAAATTTTTATATTGCGTCTTATTTAGTTACAATGTTAAAAAATGTGGAAAAAATCGTCCATGACGGCTTGGACAATCTCAATCAGTCGCGCGGTGGCGCTTACGGAGGACGGACGCGTGTCAGTTTTTTGGCCGTGACAGTTCGCGATTTGTCAATATTTTTGACAATGATGACTTTGATGAGTCACAGTATAATAATATCAGTGTTACTGGAGAAAGCTTAAAGGACAATGACCAAAAATGTATGGAGTGTGGTCCAAATGGCCACCACTAACGAGACCTATGNAGCAAACCAGGGTACGGAAACTCCCATACTTCGCTCATCCAAGTGACACTTGCTTACAAACAGCGGCATCTGATAGTAAATTCAAATACTTTTTAACTATTCTAAAACACTCTAGATGTCGCTGCTACAATTTCCTTAATTTTTCCTTTTTTTCTTAATTAAAATATATTTGAGAATATTGTTATTTACAATGTGAAAATTTTTTTTAAATGAAATGAATTTGTTTTAAAATTAAAACTGAAAGTTGTAATTTTTTGTTAAAACTTACTAATAGAGTAGTAGAAATTACTATTTAATATATGGCAACTTTGTTTCTTTCTACTAGAATTTTGTTAGAAAACACAAAATGGCTGATGTTTGTGCTTTCATCTTCATCGTTGTTTCCTGCTGAGCCCTCTTGAACTGTTGAAGAGTCCAGTCGAAGTCGAGTTTACTCCTTCTTTCTGCTGTTCTACTATTCATCGAGGTTTTGTGCGTTCCGACACGACTCGCGAAAAGACGCTTTCTCAATGTGCGAAAAGACGCTTTCTTTTTTTGTGTTTTTGAATCATTTGCGAAAAGACGCTTTTTGTGTAATTTGTGTTTTATTATGTGTGTTTATAAACTTCATTACGATGCCTAAGCGTTGTACATTCGGTTGCCCACCTTCTAGTGGTAAGTTTGAAGTATTTTTTAAAATCTTACAAGTAGGTATTTGTCCACGGCTTCTCCCATGTGAAATTTAGTTTGCAACAGAAATACTAGCTTAATTGACATTAATTGTTGTAATTTGGGCAATTATCTTAATATCATTTCTAGATTGACTCCTTTTTGTCAATTTGTGTATTTTATTTTATCAAAATACGTTTTTGCATGAAACAGTAACAAATGCCTCCGTAAGACCAAATTATACTGACGAGCAAAAGTGTGGATGTAATCGCCCTCTTGTGTTTTGTTCCCAGCGATCTGAAGAACTTAATGATTATCTATGTATCTAGGTTATCAAGTTAGTTTCTAATGTAACCTATAAACTGGTACCATTTATAATTTAATCTTCATATGCCCGTTTTCCATTATTCAATCTTTGCCCACATCCGGATTTCAACTGTCAAATTTAATTTAGTTTAAAAACAATATGAAAATGTAAAAATATCAAACACCCCAGTTAGTTTGACCAAAAACATATTGAAATTTGACAGTTGTCGGACGGATTTTGATTAGGATTGATTAAAGATAGAATACCACCAAGTCTGTCCAAAATTTAACACCTGAGACCTGTATACTTACTTTTACAGTGAATTATAAGATACAATCATGATTGGCACCTTATTTTTATTTGAGCAATAGAGGTATTTTGTAACAAATATTTGAGTTGTAAAGATTTTAAAAACAAACATTGCTATGTGATGATATATTTATTATATTGGGAACTTCACTTCGACTAAACCTATTTCTGTCTAGTTCCTGTCATTTGTCAAAATGTTAATGTTTGTTGAATAAGGATTGGACCAATCCTCTTTATTCTTACAGGTATGATACGTCATAACTTTCCAAATCCTGACAAATTTCCGGAGAGGTTCAGAGCATGGGTGACAGTAGCAGGCGGGAGTTTGGAAACTAACTTGGACTATGAAAATTATAGAAAGAAAGTTGTATGTGACAGTCACTTCAGTGATGGTGACCGGACTCGAAGTCATCGCCTCAATTGTTTAGCGGTGCCATCACTTAATATTCCTGGTAAATATATTTTTATACAAGAATGCATTGATACAAACTGTATAAGAAAACTAAAGTACTAAACAAACTTAATAGTATAATTTTGTCTAATGAATTTGATTGTTATATTATTATGTATAGGTAATAATTAGTGTAGTTCTAAAGTAGTGACTTATTATAATAGGCTTATCATTGTTGTCAGAGACCTTGCCCCCAATCAATTAATAAAGGTGTCCCATATCCCAACCCATTATGTAGTCCCATGAATGAATTTAGTCACTAAATTTTTAAATAAGGCAATAAATATCTTGTTATTATCATTTTTCTTAAATCCAATCCATTTTGTATTATTGATATTGAATTCTGATTTTTTATTAGGTGTAGCTGCAGTAAATGTGGTAGAAAATGATCAAGGAACTGCCTGCCAGTCCCAGCTTATACAAGATTCAATTGGTAAGTTAAAATTTATTGCTAAACCAATTTAAATCTGTGTTAATAATGGCCCTCATGATAATAATATTAATTTAAATGATGACGACTCATCAGACTACTACTATCTTTTTTGTTGCAAAATAGCTCCTATTACAATTACAAAATATTATGGTGTCCCACTGTTTTGCTTGATTTGCGGTTGTCTGTAGGTACATGGTTTTTGTGTGCATACAAGTTAAAATAAACACTCATAAAAATGTAAAGTAGTGACTTATTATAATAGGCTTATCATTGTTGTCAGAGACCTTGCCCCCAATCAATGAATAAAGGTGTCCTATGTCCCAACCCATTATGTAGTCCCATGAATGAATTTAGTCACTAAATTTATAAATAAGGCAATAAATATCTTGTTATTATCATTTTTCTTAAATCCAATCCATTTTGTATTGTTGATATTGAATTCTGATTTTTTATTAGGTGTAGCTGCAGTAAATGTGGTAGAAAATGATCAAGGAACTGCCTGCCAGTCCCAGCTTATACAAGATTCAATTGGTAAGTTAAAATTTATTGCTAAACCAATTTAAATCTGTGTTAATAATGGCCCTCATGATAATAATATTAATTTAAATGATGACGACTCATCAGACTACTACTATCTTTTTTGTTGCAAAATAGCTCCTATTACAATTACAAAATATTATGGTGTCCCACTGTTTTGCTTGATTTGCGGTTGTCTGTAGGTACATGGTTTTTGTGTGCATACAAGTTAAAATAAACACTCATAAAAATGTAAAGTAGTGACTTATTATAATAGGCTTATCATTGTTGTCAGAGACCTTGCCCCCAATCAATGAATAAAGGTGTCCTATGTCCCAACCCATTATGTAGTCCCATGAATGAATTTAGTCACTAAATTTATAAATAAGGCAATAAATATCTTGTTATTATCATTTTTCTTAAATCCAATCCATTTTGTATTGTTGATATTGAATTCTGATTTTTTATTAGGTGTAGCTGCAGTAAATGTGGTAGAAAATGATCAAGGAACTGCCTGCCAGTCCCAGCTTATACAAGATTCAATTGGTAAGTTAAAATTTATTGCTAAACCAATTTAAATCTGTGTTAATAATGGCCCTCATGATAATAATATTAATTTAAATGATGACGACTCATCAGACTACTACTATCTTTTTTGTTGCAAAATAGCTCCTATTACAATTACAAAATATTATGGTGTCCCACTGTTTTGCTTGATTTGCGGTTGTCTGTAGATGGGTTTTGTGTGCATACAAGTTAAAATAAACACTCATAAAAATGTATTTTTGTGTAAATTTAAGTTTCTCAGTAAGTGAATTGTATTCTTTTGAGAAATAAAGTGTCTAACCATAAATAATGCAGAATAGAGCAGGGTAAAATGTTGCACAAATATCAATAATTGTGTTTTTTTTAATTACAGATAATACTGAATTAGAAAATAACGGAAGTTCATTAAATGCACAAGACTCAACTGAAACAGGTGAGTGTGAAAACAAAATGTTTTCATAATTAAAGTTTTTTTTATGAATAATGCTTGTAATATCAACTGTTACCCGAATGTGGCTGCACTATAGTTTTGTCAAACATAACAAGGCTTGCCTCTTAGGCTCTTTAATGACGTGTCCACACATGCCGCCGGGTTTCAAAATGCCTTGCCAGTGTGCCGTCCTGGCCGCCGGGTTGGCCGCTGTCCGTGCCGCCCGGTATGTGTGGATGCG